AAAAATTAAAAATAGTCTAAAAAAAACCTTAAAATGTCTAAAAATAGTAACTTTATATCAAGAATGAAACTAAATGAAATCAAATAAAATCACTTTCTTATTTTTTTCAAGTCATGGTTTCATTTTAAGATCTGATATATAGTTACTTTGCATGTTTTTTTAATAGTCAGTCTCAGTGGGATTCACGCCAAGAAATATATAGAACCAGATTAAATGAGATTAAATGTGAAATTCATGATTCTGGCGGCCAGTCTAATCAACACTGATTGAAAGTATAAACCTGACTGTGGCGGGCTGCGCCCGATCAATCATATAGACTATTCCGTTACACTCCACAGATTCCACGTACGCTCCGATCCTCGGCCATTCTCGATCGCCGATCCTCGGCCGCCACTCTGATCAATCATATAGACTATTCTGTTACACTTCACAGATTCTATGTACACTTCAATCCTCGGCCATTCTTGATCACCGATCCTCGGCCGCTATGAACATGTGTATATTCTTCCACCCTGAAGCTCCACTGCATACACCACCACATACATGTATAAATATTCATCTCAATCACTGATTCTCACACTTTCTCTTTCTTTCCTTCTCTAGTGTTTTTATCTTTGTTATATAAGACCTATAATATTATACTGATCTATTCGGCGTAGGCCTCTTACACTGACTTATGAACAGCTATATGTGAATTATATCTTTGAAGTTATATAAGTCTTAAATATATATTATCTGTGATATCTGTAATAATTATAATTTCTGTAAATATTCTTCAGATTCTGAAGAGATCTTGTAATTTAAAGATAACTCTTATAAGTCTCTTAATTCTCAGATCTGAGTTCTCACATTCTGCTTATTATAAGAGCAGATTCTCAGTTTTTATCATTCAGCTTATTCACTTCACAAGCTTTAGAAACACTATAGTAGTCTGAGATTCTGAGTTTATTAATACTTTTCATACTTATGAGACAGTAGTACTGCAGTGTAGTCTCTTCTTATAAGTAAGTATTTTCATTGAGAGAGTAACAGATTCAGATATTAGCTTTAAAACTCTTAAGAAGACTGTTACTGACTCTGTCTATAACTTCTTAAATTTCTATTTTAATTTATTCAGACAGTTTGTACAGAGATATTCTAATTTAAAATAGATAAAACAGAGTCTCTTTTTCTTAGTCTCTCTACTATATACTCTGTTTATAAGAGCTTATAAAGCTCTCTCTCTCTACTTAGTAGTTAGATATAAATCTCTTTATATCTTATTATCTTTCTCTGATAAATCTGTTCTCTGTTATTCTGATTCTTACAGAATTAGTTAGTAATTCACTCTCTATAAATCTGTAACTCTTACAGTAATTTATAAGTAATAAATAAAAGTTATCAATTTCTTTAGAATTAAGAACTTAGAGTCTTACTTAATAAGCTTATTTTACATATTTTTATTCAGTCTCTTTATAAATATTATTATTCAGATCTTATTTCAGAGCTCTATTTCTACAGATTTTAATTTATATTATAATTTTATAAAGTACTGTAAGTAGTCTTTATTAGATTTCTTATCTCTTTTTCTAATATTAATAATTACAGTTTAAATATTCTCTATTTAACTTAGAAAATTCTTTAATTTATTCTCTAAATAGATTTTAAGAATAGATTAATAAGATCTCTTATAATTATTCTCTAAATAATTCAGTTAGTTCTTGACTTCAGTATAGTAGAGATCTGTTATTATATAAATAATAACTTCTTTATCTTTTATATTACATAGCTAAGCTTGTAAGTCAATTTTTCAAATATAAACTTATAAAAGCTTTTATATATTATAATTTAATAAGTAATCTTAAATAATTATAATTTAAGAAAGTTTCTTTTCAGTTTATAAGTATCTCTGAAAATTATATTTAAAGACTTAGTTTGAGAATGTTTACAGACAGTAAGTATTTCTTATAGAAAAATAACTTAATTTTATAGAAGATACTCAAGAATATTCTTCACTGAGATTGATTTATTTATAAGTTTAAAGAGTTTCTCTATTATAAATACAGAGAATAATATTCTATGAATAATTAATAAGTTCTCTGAAACTTCTTTTATAAGAGTTATTTATAATTCAGATAACTACTTCTGAGTGTCTGTAGTAGAGTTTATAGAGATTGAAGTATATAAGTTTCTAGTTCTTTCAGTTATAATAGATAGTTGCTCACTGACTGAGCTTGAAATATAAGAATAAATACTTATAGATGATTATTCAGGTGTTTGCAGCTTGATATAATATATACTGTTAACTACTAGAAGTATTTATAATAGAAAGATAAAATGTAGAGATTAAATATATAATAGTATTCAAGCTGAGTTATAAATAGTATTCACAAACTTCAGTCTATATAGTTGTGTATAGCCAAGGGCCGCTAACTCTATTAATTATGTGAGAGATAGGAATAGAGGTAAAGAATCCGCGAGAAGCGGGATTTCTTACACCAGATTGAAAAGAGCAGTATATGAGTGAGACTTAGTGTTGATGTTTAGAAATATCAAAGATAGACAGAGTTTTCACAGAAGTTACTTCTCAGATATCTTCACAATTACAGATTGAGAATCTTTCAAAATTGAGAAGATTAATGCATATGACTAGGTCTCCTTGTCTTACAATTTGTATGGCAATTTGGCCCGGGGTTGTGGTGTGATAGGGGTGGACAGGAGATAATCTCACACAGGAGTTTTGAACAACATCTGGTTCACATTTGGCTGAATAACTTCACCACCACACGGGGTATGCGGTCAGTGATGGGGTCAGAATACTTGTATAATTGAGAGCTCTTTGATGAATCTATCAGCGGGTTCTTATTCGAAAAATTGAGCGAGTTCGTGGTTATTATCTTTCTTGACAGATTGTGATCCTCTCTCAGATGCTATTCCTAAGATTGAAATTCTGAAGAGAAGAAAGAAAGAAGAAATAGAGAAACAACAAGTTCTTGAAATACAAGAGCTTAAGAAATAGAAGAAGATAGATATCATAAAGAAGAGAATGAAGTAGAAAACAGCTTATCAGATAGTAAGCAGTAAAAAGATATAAATAAGACTGTAAGAGCTGCTTAACAGCAGATTGAAAAGAAGCTTAGAGATGTAAGAAAGACTCAAGAGTAAAAAGAGAAGAAAGAATAAGCTGCTAACCGTGCCATGCTTACTCACTCTCTGTAGTGAGTGTATCACAGTGTACAGAAAATCACACTGTATAGAAAATATTTTCAATATCTTCATTCTTCATCTTCAAATAATTATCATTAATTATAATCATGTCTAAATCTTCTAATTACACTGAGAAGCAGTTGTAAAGAGCTGTTGACATGTATAAAAGCAATTCAAAATTAAAAATCATGTCTCTGTTATAAGAATTCAAAGTCTTATATATCATCTTGTATGAGAGAATCAATAGAAAGAAATCAAGAACTATGAGAGTTTCACTGAATTAAGCATTGAATGATAGTCAGAAAGAGACAATTAAGATATGAATTCATCAGTTGAATATTATTAATGAGACTGTCTACTACAGATATAAGCAGTATAATAACAGATAATTTCTTACTAATCTGAAGAGTGTCTGACTGTAAGTATTTAAACCTGGTACTGTGAGAGCTGGCTTTACTGACTGTGAAATGTATTCAGTTAATTGTGATATAATTCTCAATTGATTGAGATCTCTTATCATTGATAATGTCTCAGATGTCAACATATATAATGATGATGATAATATATGCAATCACTTTATTCTGTCACTGTCTTCTTGTAATTAATCTTCTCAGAGATGATTGCAAAACTATGTCATTAAATCAATACAGCAGTCAAGGCCTTAGAAGATGTGAAGAATATTCTTACATCTGATTTAACAAGATGATTAAACAAGATCTTCAAGAGTAGCATAATTCAGAGCTGAGGTAGAATTGAACATGTATCATAAGAATGAACTTGCAGATTATTATCAAGTAAATAGATGTTGAGTTATCAAATCCTCTCACAGGCAGGTGTAAGTAGGTGAAGTTCTCACTATTAAGAATATCAATTGCAAGATTGTGATCTGTAGAGTAGATAAGATGAAAAAGATATTTAATAAGACTCTTCAATTGATTGAAATCAAATCTATAAAATCTACAGTCACTCAATTATAATAAGATAATTCTATAGAATTTCAATCTACAGTGAATTCTACATCTTCTAATGAGTATATAGATAATCTTTATATTATAGATAGATGTGATGATAATTATTAATTAATTTTTGAAGATCACTATATTCAAAATATTTTCTTTACAGTGTGGTTTTCTGTATGCTGTGACGCACTCACTACAGAGAGTGAGTAAGCATGACACAGTTATACAGCAGCAATCACAGTTGAATAAGAAAAAGATTAAAGAATTCAAAAATCATCTTTCTAATCAGAAAAGTAAACTCTTGATTTCACAAAGAGTGACTAAATCACATTTTCAGAGCCCTGTCAGAGTGCTCATGAATTCACTGTTGAAGAAATCTGATAATATTATAATCTCTACTGATTTAATAACTGCTTATTTACTAAATCTGTCTTTACTTAAGATTTCATATTCTGAGTAAGTTATTAAGTTCAATAAACATCTACAGAATTAGCTGTATATTTTTATGTGTAATTTTCTATATATATTTTCATCATATAATATATCACCTTAAAATCTAATTGTGTTGTTGAGATATTGTTGAAAATATTTCATCATCATGATGGCAAAATGGCGGGTGTTGAGTGTAAGCGGGCGTTGGGTGGTTGATTACGTTGTCTTTACACATCAAATATCAGTGAAAAATGAATCTTAATGAGTCTCAAATTGATCACTTTTGCAGTGACAAGCCTTATTAACTGCTGTCTATGACATAGATACTGTCATATTGCTTCTCAAGTTACATTATCACAGTTGCTCATCATGATTGTTGATTTTTAATGATATTTGCAGGTCTCTGAATGCTGTACTCTGTACTCTGTACAGCCACACTGAAACATGTCAGTATATATCATGACTCATTCCAGCATATACAGTACAGATTTAACTTGAATAGGTTTAGATCTATCACTTTTTCAGCTAAATACATCATTGAACTCTATAATATGAATCTGACTGTCAGCTTGGCATGCTTGGCGAGTTGTACAGAGAGAATCTACTGAACAGAAGGCCTTATCCGGCCAGGTTAGCATGTATAACCCTGGCCAGAGCTGTCCTTAGTACCAGGCTTCACATCTAATGCTAGCAATGAGCTGAATAAAACTACTAAAAATTGAATCTTTTACAGTCAAATGATAACAGATTTCTCAGGTTGGCCAATCAACCTCTAACTTCAATGCTTCAAGAATTAGAAAACACAGAGGTTCTCATGCACATAGTGAGGGACCGCACTTACACAAGTGTGATTGCATACGTCACTGATCTTCTGTCATATCATGACAATCAGCTTCGACATAACTTGAATGCTGTCAAGGGTATAGGTGGCTGCATTAGTCAGATATATCATGACTATGATGCTGGCCCATTTGCATTTTCCTTGACTGACCTCCATCAGAGCAATATCTTTGTGGACAAAGACTGGAACATCACTCATATAATTGACCTGGAATGGGCTGCTTCTCTTCCTTTTGAGTTCATCCAGCTCCCGCACTGGCTAGGCGGTAAGGAGCTTGATGCAATCGACTTAGACCCTTACAACAACCATGTTGAAGAATTTACGCGGATCCTCGAAGAAAGTGAAAAGGAAGGTAGAGGAAGCCGAGAGCCATCGATGTAGGTTGTCTCACACCATACGGTCCGGGTGGAAAATCGGGACATTTTGGTATAACCTTGCTCTGCGGAGTCCGCCAGCCCTGCATTCGCTCTTCTACGACAGAATCCAACCCCAGTTCGCTGCGCAGCACTTAAAAGATCGGGAATTCTACAAGATTGTTGGGTTTTATTGGTGTCGCGAAGCCAGCGCTTTCATTCGGGCAAAATGTAGTGACAAGAAGAACTGTGACATCCAGCTCAGAGAGGCGTTTCAGATGAACAACTAGGCACAGAAACCGATGTATCGCACTCCAATGCATACAAAGTTCAGCTCCCACTTCGCCTGCGACTTAGGGTACATACTTTCTCAGACTTGGTCCACATTCATATGACATTCAACGACTTTCTTTGGATTTCCCCTTATCGTTGTCGGTAGAACCTTCCCCAACCTGCACGTCGAGGTGTGTGTTTTCTGGGACCCGATCTAAGACATTCGATGCCCGTTTCGCTTTCACAGCCGCGCTGGAGCTAGTGGGTTGCTCCAGGGCCTTGAAATCTGAAACCAAGCCCACCGTCGCCTCTTCTACCTCTGACTCGCGCTGACCTGAACACTGCGAAGGTTTGGATGATGACTGCGTGTTTTCTTCGCATCGTGGGAGTACTCTATGAGTAGGTTAGTTTTGGAACTTGACAAAGTGAAGATGACATACATGCATTTTCTCGCTCTGTCTCTGGTAGAGGTATAAATTCGAGAAGATTAGATCTGTTTTGATTTAATAGAACAAATATTTTTAGCCTGGAGTTGAATACGTAGTACTGAATGGAAGCAAGAATCGCTTATCATGGTCCCAGGATGGACTCGCTCGGATGCTGCGCGTATGGTCGCGTCACCTTTCGTTGGTGCTAAATTTACAAAGGGAATTCATGGATACAACATAATCGGCGTTGATTTGTCTCGTGGGCTGCAAGGCTGCCCAAACTTAAACCCTGTCCAGAAGAGAGAGATAAGCCATTCAGTCTAGCACAACACAGCTGGACGGTTCTTGACTCTTGATGTTTACATGCACCGAGTAGGCGATGTAGCTCCATGAGTCCAAGCTCAATCATTCCTCTCCCAATAGCTCCTCGAGAACCTTAAGATCGACTAAATAACAAACCCGTTTTCTTCGAAGACAGGATGTTCAACTGTAGCAGTTCCATTTGCAAGATCGTTGACTCCGGGCTTCATCGACGAACATCGAAGACGACCCTGAAGTCGGTATTGCTTGATTTGGTGTTCCATACGTTCGTTCCCCCAGAAGTGTGCAATAAGATACGTAGTAAACAGATTGAGCCACAGTTCCAACTTTTGGAATATTCTCTAGGACTAATATAGCCTTGTGGTTAGGGCTGGTCGGGGGGGTATCATACATTCTACTTATAACAAGTCACCGGAAAAAAGAAGAAACAGACGAAGGAACTATTAACCCCAAGCCCCTTCAACTTTATTATGATCGAGAGAGTTATGTAATGAGAAAAGAAAAGAAAGAAAGAAAGAAAGAGCCCCCATCCAATGTATGTACGACTAGTTCATCAGGAAGAAAGCCGCAGTGACCATCGACATCGACACGACGGCATATCCGGGGTGTAAGCCAACAGCACCGTTTCCTTGCCCCCCGGAACCCCCTTTGCCAGTCTTGCCGTCTAAAGCACCAGAACCTGGTTCAGCCGAGCCAGATGATCCGGTGCCAGCGTTTTGGCTACCAGAACCGCCTAGGCCAGGACCTTTTCCAGCGCCTTTCATGACATATACCTTTGCCGGCTCAGGGATGGCAGGCAGTTTATCACCATCAACATCCCAGCTGGGAGCGTTCTTCTTGGGGCATGGGCTGGCTCCACCGGCCTCATTATATCCACCGTCACCGGCTGGGTTCTTGGTGGCAGCGAAGGCTTTCTTCAGCGTGTCGAAGTCTTTGCGAGTCTTAACCTTGCCGTCCTTAAGTTCAACCAAACCATAGTTATTGGGCTCCTGGGAATATTCATAGGCGAGACCACCAGAGTAGACGCTGGTCATTTTCTCGGAGTACAGAGCCTTCACTTCGTTCCACTCGCGTGTGTTCGTGTTACAGCCGTACTCCGAGAGGAAAAGGGGCAGTCCATACCCGGAGAACAGCTCGACTTTTTTGTCCCAGCCGGCCTTCTCGAAGGTGGATGGGTCACACCAGGAGTAATCGTTGAAAGCAAAGAAATCGCTGCGCTCGTCATCAGGACCGCAGTTCATGTACTGCGCCATCTGGAGACGGTTGGAGTCGACATCAGCCTATTCAGAAGTGAAATGCATAGTTAGCACTAGGAGCACCGTTCCGCTCTATATCATAACTTCTACGTCATCCATACCGCAGAGTAGCCAACAGGGACTTCTCTCAAGCCCTGCTTACGGATAAATTGGCGAATATCACGAGTGACTGCTTTGACGTAAGGGGCGGTTTTAGAGGTAGGCCCATCGTTGATAACCTCGTTTCCGGAGAAGAAAGCCTGTAGTCGCCATTAGCAAGCTGGCAGAACTCAAGCTCCGTTGCTGCTTTAACATACTAGAGTGTTGTCATATTTCGCGAACATTGCGACGGTAGCAAAGACGTTCTGGAGGTATACGTCATTGTAGGAAATCTCGGGTTCTATTGGATATCTCAGAAAAATACAACTGTGTTCGGGTTCAGGCCAGGGGCAGGGAAGGATCTACCCATGCGGTTAATAGAATACTTAGGAGTGTTGACATCGAGGACAAGGTAGATGCCGGCATCAGCCAGAGCCTGCATGCACTCGTCGTGGTCCTTGCTGTTGTCGACAGTGTAAATGCGGATAGTGTTCAGGCCCAGCTCCTTGAATTTGGCGATGTCTCGTTTGCATACCTCAGGATCAGCGATGGGATCCTTGACCTTGGAAGCTCCTCCCTGTGAAATAATTTCAGCAAACACAATCCTTGCTTTAGATACTGGGGGTTCAAGGGTCCGTTTAGTCCGGACTAACTGGTTGATAATCGCTATATAAAGCAAGATATCAGATTAGAATGTATTTCAATGTTTTACTAACCAGGGACAGAGATGAAATGGAAACAAAATCGATATAAAACAAAGGGTATTTATCTAGGTGACTTACACTCCGCGTATATAAAAACGCTTGTTTCCCTGCCAGAATGCTATCGAACAAAAAAAGCACAGTCAGTATACCGCCCCATCTTGGGTATTAGGTCCTGGGCATGCCAAAGGTGGTGTGGTTCGAGACATTACCATTCCCCTTGACTGTGACAGGAGTGATTTTGCTCTCTCTGGCCTGGACATTGCTGGCCACACCAGCGAGAGCAGACGATGCCCCGAAAATGGCTGCCGCCAACGCAGACACGGCTGTGGCTTTCATATTGGAGAGAGGGGATCAAGTGTGCGTAATCCGTTGTGATAGCTGTCAATGAGCAGGTTTTTCTTTTCCTTCTCCGCGATTATATTAACAAATGTCCTAATGAGAGACGGAAGATGTTTTAAGTAAAACTTGTATATCAACGAACGAATCGGAATAATATCGAAATGGAACAAAAGGCTACACCGGAAAGAACGACGGGTATAGACCTCTCTTACGAACGATTGAATAGAACAACGAAGGAATGACAGAGAAAGAGAGAGAGAGAGAGAGAGAGAGAGAGAAGGGAGAAGGAAAGGAGAAGGAAAGGAGGATGGATGATGAGAGAGCAAGACAGTGACGCTCAAAAGCTGGCCAGCGAAGGTGAAACTGAAGGGAAGCAGGGCAGCACGCAAAGTTGGTTGCGTAATCCCACATAGTTATCAGCAGCTCATTGGGCTGACTTGCTCCAGGGACTGGGTTTTTGAAGGCCATTGAAAGCCAATTTGGGACGGGATATCAGTTTCATTGGCTTGTGAATATGGGATATCTGCTGTTGGGTTTACAGCGAGCTTAGCATTAGCCTTCTCTGCAGGCTACAGGGCCTTACAGGGCCTTACAGGGCCTAGCTGGACATGAAGCCGCCCTAAGACGGCCCCAAAGGTTTGGTCAAAGCTAGGGCTTGTTTTGGAAGAGAGAGATCACTATCTCCCCCGAGGAGTTCTCTGGATTCCTTAACCGAACCCTGGTGCGGTGCTGGAAACTTCAGCGGGAACTCAATTCTCCACTACCAACTGATCCATCTATGACATCTAGTTATCTCCGCCTCCACATCTACACCAACTACCAATCAGCAGTCAGCTCTCTAACAAACAGACTTCAAGAGAAGAGAATAGAGATTTTCATTCACTGAATACTCTCATACACAGCAGAATTGAAGATAAATGAGAGAAGCTGACTATCTGATCAAAAAGACTGCAGATTGAAATAAATAAATCTGTTCTCTCTACTCATCTATATATATATAGCACTAATATAAATACAGATAGAAAAGATTACTTTATAGAATATCTCAGCCTCTTCGAAACATTTCATGAAAACTCAGAAATATCACTATATATGTAATATTCAGACTGTGAAGCATATACGATAATATCTTATATTAAATAATATTAAATAATTTTTCACTACAGAAACAATGATGAGATAGATAAAACTCTCACTTATTTCAAGATATTAAATTCTCAGACTGAACAGTATTCTATATATATACACACACTTCTTATCATCTCTAATCATATACAGAGTAATCTTCAAAACAGATAAAAAAATAAAATATAAGATCTCTCTTTTTCTTTATATAATCACATTCCCTTAATTATAAGAAGAGAGAAATAGAGATATTAGCAGACGTCATTAATCTATCTCTCTGTCTCAAAGAATATTTCATTTATCATTGCATATCTGCTTCAAAGCATGTAGAAGTATTCTGTATATGTAACTCTGCTGTACTGCTGAATCACCGGCAAACTAGACATGCGCTTTGCAGGTGATATGTGTAATTCATAATAATATTAAAGATCCATTATATGAATAAAACACTGTATGTAGCCTGTGCAAAAATATCAAAGCAAGAGACAACTTCTACAGCCATATATATAGAACCACACACGTCCAGGAATTTCGACAGGTGTATAGTTTCCACCATTCACTATCCAGGGGTGCTTTGCCCCTAGCGTGACGCCACCCGGTCCAACGATCGCCTCGATCTTCGTCGCCGAAACAGCTGCAACCAGCCACTGACGCCGCGGGAGAAATCGTGGCCCTATCGCCCGGCACTTACGTGGCTACTGGCCACACACACACCCTGTTGTGCGGCCTGTTTCCCGAGCTTTTACTTTTGATATTTTCTGTTCTTTTTCTTTTTTTTTTTTTTTTTTTTTTTCCAGATCAGAGTTTTTTGTATTTATTCGAGCCCCTTTCTTTTTCTTTTTGCAGATGGCCCTCTACCTTCGCGGATAATTATTGGATATGTGTGGTTATAAACATGAGACGATACGGATTTCTAGTGGCAAGCAAGACACAGGGCTAACTCCTATTATGACTTTAGCTACTAAGAATAAGGGGGTTGAAGCAGAACAAAGAAGAGCAGAAAAGAAAAGGAAACTGCCTGGGTACTCGCAAATAGCCCTATGCCACTGACAAAGTAACTACAAAATGCGTCAAAAAAAAAAAAAAAGAAAAAGAAAAAAGAAAAAAGAAAAAAAGAAAAAAAGAAAAAAAAAGGGGGTAGGAAAAGGGTTGCTAGCTTCTTAGAATTTTCCATACGACAAACCACTGCCATAGGAGGAATCAGCATTCGATGGGGTGGTTGGGGACGACATCTGAACTGCCTTCGTAAAATACATCTTGAATGTTGCTCTAAAATGCGTGAGACCAAAAGAAGAAACGTATAATATAAACATCCGCAAGTAAGCTAAATGATATGAAGGGTAAGATGATAAGATGACAAAAAAATAGAAAACTCACACCATTCCGCAAAAGTTTAGTTCATCCCAACAGCAAACCCATCAACCCTTTCAACCAAATCCTCCCACTCGAAAAAATATAAAATAGTTAACTCGCCCTACACCTCCTCAATATAATTTGCAGGTACGCTCTTCGTCTGCCCGCCTTTCTCAACATCAGACCACCCATTGCCACTATCCCGATTCACAAGCACAAACCTATCCCCCTCCGCCATGCTCCACTCCGCATCACTGCGCGCTTCATAGTCATACAGCGCAACCACATATTGCAGCTTCTTAGCTCCGCGCTTCGGCGCCACCGCCGGACCGCGCCGTTTGGCCGCAACGCTGCTCGCCAGAGACGCGCTCGAGGTTGAATAGGTGGATCCAGGACGGTCAGCGAGGCTGGGTCGTGGTGAGAAGGCTGGTGATGGGGTGGAGATGCCTTCAACGTAGGAGGCTGGGACGAGGCCGGTGAGGGCGCCCGCCCGAACGCGCATCCAGCCAGACCCGTCTATATTTTTAACTCTGTTAGAGGTTGTTGTTATGGTTTTGAGGGGGGAAGGAGTTGGAATCGTCACGGGGAGAAAACATTACCATCTGGTTCAACAATTGTAACCTCACGGCCGCCTTCAACTGTAATCTCATCCTCGCCATTGGCCTCGTATGGGGTATAACATTTTGCCTCTCGCTTCGCTTGATTTTATGGATAAGCCACGGCTGCGGCCTCCGCCCCCATCCGCGTCTCCTTCGTTGGCCGGAGGAGGGGGGGCACTGATGTATTGTGCGGGTGGGGGAGCAACAATTCGGTTCCTTCGGGGTGCTGTAGCCGGCTTCGTGGTTGTTGCTGGAGCAGATGCTGGAAGTTCCGTTGGCCCTTCGGCCACCTGTGGGGTTGAGATTACGGATGCAGAGCGCGCTCCGCTAGCGGCGTATCCTGAGCTTAGCGAATTCATAGTATCTCGGCGGCTCAGTGCAGGCAGCTCCGAAGCACCATTTGTCGGTGCGGGGACATCAATTGGAGGTGCTGAGCTGGCTGCTTCTTGTCTTTCTATTTTCAGTTTCTTCTTCTCTTCCTTAGTCTGCTCACCAGGGCATTCCGCTGGGACCTTCATTTCGCATTTGCTGTGACAGGTGTACCCACAATCCCGACAGTCGAACCCCTTTGCCGATAGCCCCCAGATTCTCTCCCCACACAGATCACAATTGGTGGGAATCTTAAATGTTTGTGATCGGAAGTTGTGGTTCTCAGCTCCAAAGGATAAGTCGCCGACAACAGATGTTATAGTTGAAGTTTCAACTTCTGCTGTTAATCGTTTACGGTCCAGAAGGTGAAGGTCTTCTTGCATGGCAAATATCGCCCGAACGACCTCCGCCTCATCCCTCTTATCCCTGCCATCGCGAATGCTTTGCCGTATCTTCTTTGCATTCTCAACCTCTCTCCTCTTCTTATCTGCTTCTACCTTTAGTTCTTTGGCCTGGGCTTTGCTTTTCACGAGTATATTTCGGAGGAAGACCTTTGCAGTCTCGTCAGTGATCATCGCGGCGTCGTCATGCCATACAGGACTCGGCTCAAACTGCACATCTGCAGGGTCTTGCCAATTTGTCATGTTGTGACGAATAAACATGGTCGAATCCAATCTAGGTTCGTTACGCGGAATTTCAGACAGCAGATGGGAAACATGTTGCTCGCATCTGGTCAGGGTGTCCTTTTCCAGTTGGGCAGCCAGCGTCCATATGGAATTCAACTTCGAAACTCGGGTTTCATTGAGATCTTGTAATCCCTATCGTGACAATGGTTATTCAAGATTGTTCATTGGTATTCGAAGGGTGGGGATAGTTCCCATACATTAAGTAGTTCCGGGATATATTCATAATAGTATTTCTCTTTTAGTTTATTCGCTACGTTTATAGAAATTAGATACGTATTCTATTATCAATTAGCATGCACTCACAGACGGCTTGGGAGTTAAATCATACCTTCACATTGTTCATTTCAAGAGTCTGCTGTTGATAAGCCATTTGCGCCTTCTGTTTCCCGTGATCAAAGGAAGATTCTGTTTTCTTCCGTCGGTTTTCTACCTCTTGACAAGCACCGTCATATTTACCCTTTACTTTCTTTAAATCGCTATATGTCGCATCTCGTTCCTTCTCCAGCCTGGTCGAATACTCAACATGGTTCTTTCGGAGTTCCTCGAACCGTGCGGCAGCTTGCTTTAGAGGTTCAGCGATCTGGACGACCAAGTCTGAACCGAAGCGATCGCGGTCTGCCGCTTCCGCCTCAATAGCGGAGAGCTGTGTGGTCCAGGTTGTCAATGACGCAGATTCTAATGAGCCTGGAGTCAACGCTGGAGTATCTCCCACGCTCAAGCTACTCGACTTTTTGGATTTGCGCTCATGGTATTTTCGACATAACCCGGTAAGTTTTGCAGCATACTCTTTCTCGATAGCGCTCCGTTCACGATAGAACTGCTGGACCTCCTCGAGCCATGCAATACCATTTGAGACCTACACGTCGTTGATTTAATATCCTGGAACGAAAAGCTTTCGGGGATTGTAAGGGGTTGCTATAAGTGGAACGTGGGCGGGAAGGGAGATGCATCGGAATGCGGGGAAGGGGAGGCGTACCCAAGCGTTGACTGGTTTGAAAGCATCCTAATTTAATTAACAACAGCTATGTGAGCTTCTAGACTTATTTCAACGACGCCAGCGCAGAGAATATACCCTCAATTCAGACCCAAACTGTGGAGCAGTATCAACATTCGTCATGGTTAGTCCTTATCCAGCTCCATTCACGGCGCTGCGGAGTGGCCAGGGCGCTCTCGTTGGAGATGCAATCAAGGGGAAATGTAGGCTCTAGAGTGGGGTATAAGGAGGACTCGTGGCGGTAGGCTAAATCAAGGAATGTAGAATAACAGGAAGAAGCATCGGATAGAAAAAACCACCACTGTTCATCAATAATGGTTAGGTGGGTTTATTGTCGTTGGTGTCAGCGATAGATACGACATCCATATCCCACCATAACCCCAACCCACAGAGCCGAGTCGCTCAGCCCCTCTTCAGCCACAGTTGCGGCCACTTCCCCGGCCCACACTAGTTTTATTTGGGACTAGTGTCCTTCTGGAAGCAGCAGACATTCTACGCTAGTAAAAGTTAGACTGCCAAGCCCGCCAATATACTAGCACAAAGACGGTCTAGCGTGTAGGCTTTCTGATGATGACTCAGCAGCATCCCGATATCGAGGCAGCAACCTACCTTGGGAAAGCTTGTTGTTGACCTTGCGACAAAATATTTTCCTGGCCCAGCGACGACGGTGAAGAAGGCCACATCATCTGTTGTTATAAGCATAGATTTTGATTTGACATAGCAACGCTGATATACCCCTCCTTATTTGCACCCTTATTTCCTTCCAAAGCTTTACCGTCATAGCCCTCGCTGGACTACGCCGCCCCTCCATCCGTCTCAAGACCCCTCGTCAAACTTGACCTGCACCCACCAAAGTTCTCTACCCTCTACGCTTAGACCTCTATTCCGGTTTTTCGCGTCTTATCTACGGTCGCTACTTATTATTGATTCATTTTAGTCCTAATCGACTTTTTTCCAAATCTGAGAATGGCGTCAGAAACCCCCTCCGGAGGGCCTCTTGAGGCCCGCATCTCCCGAGAAGAACCCAAGACAGATGCCGCTGCTCCTTCTGAGCCTGCTGCTGGTAATCTTCCCTATATCTTTTACCTAGAGATCCAGTCGCAACATTCCCTGTTTTCCGTTTTGCGTCATTGTTGACCTTTGCGACATAGGGACCACCCCAGAAACCCCCGCGACTACAAATGCCCCGGTTGCGGATGCCCAAACAGACGGAGCTTCTGCAGATTTTGGGGGATCTCAACTACAAGAGCCTGATTACTCAGTCAACGTCAAACTGAGCGACTTGCAAGCGGACCCAAATAATCCTTTATACTCGATTAAAAGCTTTGAGGAACTCGGGCTGTAAGCTATTTTACTCCCCCCTTCACCCCATCCACTCTCTATTTCCGGATCTTATTGTTGCCGCAAAATACAGACATCCATCGGTTCTCCAAGGTCTACATGCTATGAGCTTTCGTCGCCCCTCCAAGATCCAAGAAAAGGCACTTCCGCTTCTCCTGAATAATCCCCCAGCGAACATGATTGGTCAATCACAGTCCGGTACAGGCAAAACTGCCGCATTCGTCCTGAATATCCTGTCCCGTCTAGATCTGTCTCCGCAAATGGAGCTCGCACCCCAAGCATTGGTACTTGCACCCAGTCGTGAGTTGGCTCGCCAGATTGTGGGCGTTATCCAAGTTATGGGATCATACGTGGAAAAGTTAAAAGTTGCTACCGCTGTGCCCATGGAGTCAAGTCGCAATCAAAGAGTTGAAGCCCCTGTTGTGGTGGGCACTCCAGGAACTGTGATGGATCTTATCCGTAAACGGCTATTCAATACCCAACATTTAAAGGTGCTCGTACTTGACGAGGCAGACAACATGCTGGACCAACAGGGTTTGGGAGATCAATGTATCCGCGTTAAGGGGTGAGCTTCCGCACTCCTGATCGTTCTTATATATCGTGTTCTCTTGACTAACGTGGATACAGACTACTTCCAAAAACTATTCAAGTTGTGCTCTTTTCAGCCACTTTCCCCGATCACGTAGTTCGTTACGCCAACAAGTTTGCGCCAAATGCAAATCAGATTACACTCAAGCATGAAGAGTTGACAGTTGAAGGTATCAAACAGCTCTATCTCGACTGTGACTCCGATGAGCACAAATTTGATATTCTGGTGAAATTCTACGGCCTTCTTACAATTGGCTCATCAATTATTTTCGTAAAGGTAACATGTTCCCCCATACCGTACACGTCTTCTTCCGAATACTAACCCCGAATATAGACGCGCGCTTCAGCAGCTGAAATTGAACGACGCATGGTGGCTGAAGGCCACACCGTTGTGTCCCTCACTGGTGGTGTTGAGGGTCAAAAGCGTGACGAAATAATCGACAAGTTCCGCCAAGGCGACGCCAAGGTGCTCATTACCACGAACGTCCTGGCTCGAGGAATCGATGTACAGACAGTATCAATGGTTATCAACTATGTATGTTTCCAGAGCGGGTGCCCTGCTTTTCTCCCTCTCAGCAACATACACAACCAATCATACTAAAACGTAAAAACAGGATATCCCTGAACTCCACGCTCCGAAAGCTACTAAGCGTATTGCTGATGCCCAGACGTATCTTCACCGCATTGGTCGTACCGGCCGCTTCGGTCGCGTTGGCGTTGCCGTGTCCTTCGTTGCTAGTAAGGAAGAATGGCAGATGCTTCAGGATATCAAGACCTATTTCAATACTGAAATCCAACGCGTGAACACGCAAGATTGGGATGAGGTCGAAGATGTGGTAAAGACCATTATCCGAAGCTCGAGAGCCGGATCTAATTTTCAACGCACTTAACTATCGACCTTGTAAAAAGTCGATAGGGAGAGGAGAGCCACCCCAACTAGTTGCTCGAATTTTTTTCTTGCCCCGCACATTTTCCCCGCGACTATAGTTTGCATTTCGTGACAGCCCGGCCAACCCCCTGAATCGAACTATATAATCCCCCCCTAAAACATATCACACACCAATACTTTTCAAGAGAGAATGGAAGAATCTGCATCATGAATAACTGCTCCCCCTACACTAAATTTCTATCCCCTTTGTTTATCTTCTGAAAGCCCTCTTGGTACTCATCCGCTTACCCTAATGCCTCTACGAACCAAAAAGTCCTTCTCGCACGTTCCCCAACACCACCAACTATACCATATGAGATGAAATTCTCAACGCACTCTTGCTTCAAACCACTGCCCTTACAGCGACCCCTTACAGCGAACCCTTTCTCTTCCCCTCAAATGTCAGATAGATATTTACAAACGGCCGTTTTTTAAACCCTTTTTCATCTACACCTCCAAGAATAGCAGGTGGAAATTAACGATAAATGGAAAGGGGAAAATAAATAATTGGTGAATAAAATGATACATGAATATTTCAAGAATGGTCCGAACATCTAGGCACGGCACAGAGGACGTATGTCGAGTTTGTGGCATTGCTGCATATTCGAGCCGGTTAATTATTCCATCCAATTTTCGTACTTCAAGTTGGCTTTCCTTCTCATCGGATGAAAGGCGCTATCATATACACACGTGAGTATAGAGTTGGCTGATGAGGGTTTTTTGTGGATGCACATATTATTGTCCTTCACCTGGCAGGATATGGAAATGCTAAACTTGTTAATACGACCTATGTTGAATAGGTGGATGTAGGCACACACTAATTATCGTGGACAAAGTTTACTATAGAAATAGAAATAGAATATGCGGACCTCGACAGACGTAGTTACATATGTACTCCACTCCATACACAGCCACATAAATAGACAGCAGAAAGTAATAGGCATTAGGAAACAGGGGCGGACAAAAAAGGAAAGATGTTGCAAGCCGTAGAATTGTAGAATGCTGGTTATCATCATATCGCATCATTACATCATTACATCATTGCGTTGGTGGCCGTCAATGGTGGAAGCAAAGGAAATAAAATATCTCCCCACGTCCAACGTCGTAGTACCTATGTAAGTCAGGGCGGGGGACAGCAAAATAATTAAGCTACTTCAATTCGGCAAATTATCAATTGCTGGAAATAAGCGGCTTGCATATGCATGACCCAACGCATAAAAGGAAACACACAATCCAATCAACAAATCATTATTCAACTAATCCACGACTTTCTGGCCATATACAAAATGCACCTTGGTATAGAAATGGATGCTACGATCCTTTAGATCCCTCCGGACTCCTGCCAGAAGGATCTCAACCTCCTCTGGCTTCCAGCCCAAGACGCGTATCAGAGGCGCGTATGAATACGCCCCAAGCGCTTGGAAGATTTGTAGTTGATGATAACGACCGAGTTCCTTGAGCTTCTCGTCTTTGGGCCAGGGGCTGAAAGGTAACTGTTGTTTTCGTTAACCAAAAGAGAAAAAGAAACAGAAACAGAGAGGGAAAGGGAGGGGGGCCCGGGGGGCCCGGGGGGGGGGGGATAAAGTCTAGTCATCCCACTTACAATACGTTCCTCAGCCTTAACATTCTTGAAGCCAGCTTTATTCATCCGGTCTTCCCACGTAGACGCAGTTGACATAGACTTTCCAAATTTTTCCGATGCCTCAATCAGCAGATTCCTCCATCGAACAAGATCCTGTGCTTTCTTGAGCGTCTCGTCGCCGAAAATGTTAACCTCGATACTCTGCATTTCTAACCAGCCGTTCGGATTGAGAAATTTGTGCGCTTGTTGGAATAGCCTGTCGTGGTCCTTGATCATACCTTCCATCTCGCGGGCATGGATGAAGTCGAACGGTTGCGCGTATGACCATGTAGCTTCGAAATCGTCTACTTCGAACCTGCAGTTCGGTGGGGTCCTGTGTGTTGCTCCAATTAGGCAATGAAAAGACCAATCGGTAGAAGGACAGAATTCAAGATTATCCTTGTGGGAAATATATACCATGTTGGCTGGATAGGGCTTAAGTCATTTCCTATATTTCGGTTTGAATTAGACTGAGAGCACATTTTATCACTCAGGACTTGGATACGAACCGATAACTTCTGCAACCGGGTGACCACTGTTGTTATGCTCCTGTCAGATAGGTACAGATAGGTACAGCGGCGTAGATGTTTAAAACGAAACGGTGGGCAGGGTCAAACATACTCAGCAAAATCAATTGCCCATATACCTACATTCGACCTCGCCGTCGTTAGCTGCCATTCAAAAAGTGGGATAGTCGCAACTGAAGGAAACTGTGTTTGCCGGATAGGATTGGTAAAAAGAGGGAATAACACCTGTGCCAGTCCCTAGGTCAAGAACCCGTCGAACATTGTCAGGCACTGGGGCTAGGTAGAGTGCACCACCCAGAAGAGTTCGATATATGTGGTGATTCAGGTCCATGCGGTCTTGTTCTTGCTCATCATTTGGCTACAGAGAGGCCCCTCTCATTAGCTGGTTGCGAAGGTTACGATAATGGCAGAGGATTTTCAACCAGAAAATATTTACCAGGATATATTCCCCTTCTTTAAATGCGTGGTATCTTCGCCCGTTCTAAAACGTCACGTATAAAGATCGTGTAGTTAGTATAGATTTCTCTCGAGGCGTGTCTGAGGTCATTGACAAACGCTGGTTACAAGGATCCGGTTTTGAAGTATGATATAACAAGATCGATATCTGGCATAGACTTTCGTAGACCCATGGGTATTCCGGTGTTCATGAGTCGAGGCAATATGCACCAACCTCATATCTAATAAAATTAGCTTTTAGAACAGTAGTTATGAGGTGTCCAACATATAGACTACGTACTTGTAGTTCCTGATACTGGATGTCACTGAAGTGGTGTAACTGGCATCACCAAGTCTTCAAGAGGTCGAGTTAGCTGTGCATATATACGCCAACCTGACTGCAGTTTCATAACACTCACGAGCCTTCATAGGCCGAATCAGTATCGGATGGATTTTCCTAACGGGACATTTGGAAGTCATAAGTTTAGCGACGCTTTTGCTGATGATTGGGAGATGTATAGTACCTCAGCTTCAATCTCCCGCGGATCAGCAATTGGATGACTGTGTGCCATGGTGAGCTGGAAAAATGCCTAATGGTACGATGTCTCGATATGAACTTTTGAAAAGGTAATTAATTATTGTGATTCTTTTCCGTCAAAGAAAGAGCAATTTGACAGAAGGGCAGACGAGGGACGTCGGGTAAGGACATAAGCCAGAGAATTTATACAGCATCGTCCCCGCCATCCATCCCTGGATTTCTCCGTTCAACGGCGCTCTTGCATGATTGTTTTTTTTTTTCTCCATTTTCTTATTCTTTTCTTTTCCTTGCTTTTTTCTTCTTGGCTTTTTCGCCATATCCGACTGGCTCATCACCCCGTGTGCTCGTGCGATGATAGGCCGTGACGCCTGCTCTGAAAAATAATGCACGTTGATGTCTGAAATGACTCGCCTGCATACACTAATTTCTGACCGATGCTCGCGGCTATTCAATTCCGTGTTCCCCATGGCCTAAACCCAGCCGGTTGTAGCTGAATTTGGCGCGGCATGCATCCTGCACTGCAGCAGATGCAGACAAGGCAACGGTTCACGGCTCTCACGGCTCATGGTCTTTGGCCTGCTGTCTTGATCAGCGGGTGGCTGTGTCCTTCAATTTTTGTTGTCCTGGGATAAGCGCGTAGATGAGGCTTCCGGCGCTCCAGCCAGAGCCACCATGATGCGTAGTTCTTAGTGATTGGATTAGCTTGGTGTAGAATGCGTTTAGTGTGAAGTGATCTGTCACAAAGTTGCAGAGTTCGGGCACTAGCTGGTGCATTTTGTACTCCCATTTGAGCTCACCAATACAAAAAGCACTTGTTGAAAACATGAATATCTTTCAACGATTCAACTTGAATAACAAAGATATTGGAGAAGAGTATATGCATACACTTAGAAAATATATTTCAAGCTTAATATTTTAACTAAATTTTAGTGTGATTTTCAATTTTTCTAAATAAAAAGTCAAATAATCTGGTGAAATATATATACATACGTTAGATTTCATATCCTCATTAACTACTAATAACTATCTACACAGATTATGGGTAGAATTGTCCAATAAGTATCTTTTGTATGGTAAACTCCTTTTTCGTTACGCTGATACTCTCACTCAATAATGAGGGCAGTGGGTGGGTGGTTATCCACCGCCCTTTGACTATAAACAACCTATCGGACTCGAGAATCTTAAGACATTTAACACGATACTGCCTCTCGTCTGCGCTACTACCTGGTTCCAGGATCCATACTGGTAGTTATCCCATTTCTGATTAGTAGGCGGTTCGGCGGGGAGAAATTTATGCACGAAAAATACAGGAGCTACATTAAACATCGTAAGTCTGCATGACAGTTGTTGTTCTTCTCTTGGATTGAAGGACGTCGGAATAAGCTACTGGCTTCCGCACCACGCGACTTCTGGGAGATTTCAGAATTCTGGCCCTAAAGCCCCCAATTTTAACCCAAAAACAAGCCTCCAGATATAATTGGGCGCGGTAATGCACGATGTTGCTGTTCAGATCCTTCGCCTTCCCGCTTCTTATCGTCTTGGGCCTCAGTGGAATGCTACTGTACGTACATATTTGCGCTTTCCCAACATTTTAAGGGCAAAATAAATTTCGATCTTGTCTTCGCTAGCCCTCCCCGCATTGCCTGCTCAGTACTCCGTAGGGATTACATACAACATCCCGAGGAAAGCTGGAAAGTTGGAGACTCTGGAGGGGGAATGCATCTACAGCATATGTGCTTGACAGCCGCAGCCTCACTCATGTCTACATAGTAAATCTGGCTAGCCCAAGACTGGGGGTTCTTTCGGCTGTTTATTCGTTTCAAGACGTGCTATCTCGATTCTTGGGCTTGAATGGTGACCAGTAAGCAAACGTGGCTTTCTCATTGATATCAGGTTTGAGGATAGGCAGTTCGAAGCTTTTTTTTTTTTCTTTTCTCCCTTTTTCAAAGAAGTTTATTGATTGCTCAGATCTCAATAACGTGGTTGATGGGAGCTCCTGAGATGAAGGGTTTTCTTTGATGAGTCTCAATTTTGCCCATCATTCAACGTGGATAAGAAGCTGGAGCAAGGAGGCTGGCCAAAGCTGGGCGCGGCGCGCGTGGTGAAACCTGTCATCGAGTACTTCAACGGCACCTAGTCCACTAGACCATTGCACTCGTAGTCATTTTGGGTGCCTCTCTGGTCTTTTATTATCTACGGTCCACACCAAGGAATCATTCAATTCATATATTTCTGCAGGCCGTGAACAACGCATTTCTAAAGACCGCATGCAACCTCGCTACAACCTGGAAGAATCCAAAGAAGCAGTGCCTTCCAAGGGAAACCGAAGAAATGGACCCATCTTTGTTAGTCATAATGGTTTTAACTCCGGTCGACTTCTAGCACCAAGTTCCACGATACAAAGCATCCGTCAACGCTTGAGGACAACATTGCTTCTACGGATATAAGATCCAAACTTGAGCCTCAAAATGTTTTGATATTTACTTTTTTTTTTTTTTTTTTTTTTTTTTTTTTTTCAGGGCAACCCAACGCGAGTGGAAGGGTTGTAAGTGTGCGCATCTCATCAAACACTTGCTAGTAGTATGCGAAAGGAAGAACGATGCCAATTGCAGCCAGATTTTCCGTGAAGACATAGACGAGCCGACTCGTGAAATATTGATTCCTTGTTCAGGTCCAGAGCTCCCGGCTCTCCAGCGCGATGCAACCACAGAAGGATAAAGGGAAATCAATATTCGGTACCATGGCTTCCGGCAGCGATGATCACCTAGTTTTCATTTTTGTTTTCATTCTCCCATGATTCTTGGTGAACCTCACCCGAAGGTCCAATACCTTGCTGTTGATAGGAAACGGGTTCTTCAGCCACAGGGAGACACCAACTGCAAAGTTGCACAATGCACGTGCAAAACTAGATGAGGATATCGGTCCTCGCCTCAACTAAATCCCCATCCATGGGCATCCAACTTAACCAACGAACTGCTGAAGCTCCTGTGTTCCTTGCGCATGAGGGGCTGCTGTGACCACTAAGAATGCAGAGATGCCACCACTCACCAGCCCTAATTTGAGCGTTGGGATTTCTTGCTTACTAGCATCTTCATCGAGAAAACTAACCTCCGCAGAACGAAGCACCTTCATCCATGTCGTCGCATCCGTTAGAGGACCAGCAATCATTCTCCGAAAACTGAATGTAACGTATACTACAAATAGCGAGCGCCATCCCGTAAAAATGGGCTACTCATGGAGATACCACGGCCAATATAACCCACCGGCCATGCTGTTCGCCTCTAAATCGGTTATCCCACTGATTGCTCTCTTGTCTCCCAGCGCACAAGCATGGGGCACGAAGGTTCATAGCCAAAAGAAGTTTTATGGTCGAAAGCTTCCTGACACCGCAGACGAACAGGATCATCAAACATATCGTCGAACCACAATATGATGGCTCGATTGGCCGTGCGGCCGCGTGGGCAGACGAGTGTGGGCGTACAGATGAGGGGAAGGATTCGCCCACATGGCACTATATCAATCCGGCGGATAACGTGAGTTGATATCTCCTTTCTTTGCGTTCCTATCCCTGTATATCTATTTGTAGATTTGTTTGAACACAATACAATTAATATGCATAAAGTCTGAGGAATATGGAGAGAATTTTTCATTTGAATGAAAATACCGATTATTGATATATATTGTCACACTCATAGCCCCCGGCCTATGAAACGTTTACTACAACAGGGACTGCACTGAGCCGGGATGCATTGTCCAAGCCCTTGCAAATGCCACAGTCAAGGTTGAGTCTTGCGTACATGCCATCAAATCTGGAAAACTCAAACATGAATCGGACATCGCGTGCTCCATGGCTTTGAAATTCCTTGCGCGTATGTGCTCTATTCCCTTCTAGGTCGGGACGAAGAATGGGAGGGTGTTGAACGGGGGCTTCCTGTTGTGAATGGCTGTGCAGAGGGGAGCGTGGCTGATGTTGAGGATGAGGGTGCTGGTGATAGCAGTAGTGACCGTCGTGAGAAGGGGAGAAGTGGGTAAGTGAGGAAGGACAAGATGTGGAGGTGGTTGGAGGAGTTGACTCTGGCTTCAATTGGAGTTACCAGATGAGATTTACTTTCATTCATATCATTCCGTTCCTATCAAGTCTCTCAACTACAGACTGCAGTGACACAAGAGGATTTTTGAGATTTGTTTCCTTATTCATCTCTATGGTGTTCGGGACTATGATATGATGGATTTGGTCCTTTCTTCATCCATTTTTATTTCTGGTGTTTGTTTTCTTCTAGGGGTTTTTTTTTCCCCTCTTCTCGAGACACACATGACCTTGCCAGATTTCATTGGTGACATCACCCAGCCACTCAACAATACGGGGGTTGCACTTGGTGGGAACGCATATCCAGTTACTTTTGGCGGAAAAGAGACCAATCTGCACTCCATGGGTATTCGCCCAAAAGAACTCCCGTTTCAGGACATAAAGAAGTTCTGGTCGTTCGATTAATGGAGAAACGAAAGAGAAATGGAAAACCAACCAACCAACCAACCCTCCCATGCAGGTCTGGGACGCCGCAATCATCACAGCCGAAGCAAAAGTCGACAACGGCTTCTCCAACCAAACCATCGACCCTTACTTCTCCAAGCTCCTCTCGCGCATCAAGAGGGACAATTTCTACATCCCCATTCAAGCAGGTAGAATGCACCGACCCCAATTGCCTGCGCCCTCGCCTGGTCCCGCGACGCGAATGCGTTGACGTGCGATTATGTCTTCAGCCGGTATTCAATGATACTGATCTGCTGGAGACCGGGTATGCGAGCGGTGCGGTTCCGATTGTGCAGTCGCAGGTGAGCAAGTTTGCGCTGAGGCTAGCGACGTGGTTGAATCGGCTTGTCGGGGGTTGGTATAGGGATCGAGAGGTGATTCTGCGGACCCACCCGAGTTGGATGTTAGGGCCGATGAAGGGGAAATGAGGGGGTTTCAAAGATCGGGTTGGCGGATGGTAGTTAGAGAGGTAAAGGGGCCGAAATTACATATGTTAGAGTAGTTAACTAACTAGTAAAGATAGAGCTGTTCTACTAGGCTAACCGTTTAAAAGAATGAAAGTTTCGCAATTTAACGAACGCTTGAGATTTAACCGAAAGATCACATTTTCGACAAAGCAACAAGAAAAGGAGAAGATATGAAAATGCTCCAAAAGTAAAAAATAAAAATCTTTACCAAGGAAGCTTGACGTGTAAGATCTCACGGCTGTTGAGCAGCCAAGAAGCAGGGAAAAAAAAAAGGAAAAGAAAAGAACTGAGGAAGCTTGAGTCCACTGAACCCGATGTGATTTGAACACATAACCTTCTGATCTGGAGTCAGACGCGCTACCGTTGCGCCACAGGTCCTCCGTTGGTTGGAGGGAGGGGAAACTAAGCGAACTTTTAGCAACATGTGACCTCTTTTCTTGGCATTACTTCTCACGTGGTTGTGCGTGCCCTAAAGGGGATGCGAGGGTAGGTATGGTATAGCAACCCGTGTACGTACTGTAGAGTAAAAGAATCCGCCCAAATCCAAAGTCCCCGAGCAGAAGGTTGAGAAAACGACACAGGAAGGGATGAGAGTTACGTACGTTGGACACAGCTGATTGGCATGAGTTGATAAAATGATGGAAAAGGACAGTCAGTATATATAAAGTGATAATGATACGAACCGGACCTATCTACATCTAGTAGGGCTCAAGGTAAAAAAACAAAGGGGATATGGGTATATATATATAAATGAGCTAAAATCAAAGAAAGGGCAACAAGCTTGTGCGACAGTGGTATTAACAGTTGGTGAGTCAAGGTGAGAATATATAGCGATGGGAATTTAAATGTAGATTAAAAAAAAAGAGAGAAGGAAAAAGAGAAGAGAGAAGGAAAGGTAGAAAACAAATAAAAATGAAACAATGTAGTCATATACATCAGAAAGGTTAGATCCCGTACGCCCTATAATCAAATAGTTTTCCGACGAAACTCCCAATAACAGCGAATCCCTTGAACCAACGGGTCACTGAAGGGAAACAAGATACCAAAACTGAAAAAAAAATAATGAAAAAAAAGAAGCAGACCAATAGAACACCTTGGCTTTCAAAAGGGAAGGAAAGGAAAAACGGACAAAGACGATTGCATGTGTGTTGTGTTAGCGCCCGTGGTCTATATTGAAATCCATAAATATAATATAAACCAGTGGGGGAACTCAGGGTAGGGCGGAGCACGGAGCTGGGGCATCATTATATCATCATCAACCTCGTAGTCCTCCGCTCGGGATATCGTCGCGTATTATTATTATTATTATTATTATTATTATTATTAGGATACATGCCTTGACCGGGCACACTTAAACCTGAATGGGGTGGATGGTTTGGTGGGTGTCGCATTCCAGGACCTCTTGGTCCATATCTCGGTCCGAGTCCGGGTCCCGGTCCATACCCTCCTCCAGGGTATCCCCGTGGAGGATACGGTGGCCGTCTGAAGCCCGGTCCGCCTGGTGGTGGTGGCATCATCGTCGGCGGCGATGGGGCCGGATGCATGGCAGCTGCCGCACGCCGTCCGTCTCGCTCACAGTATGCCACTCCGTTCCATTCGAAGTAGTCGCCGCGTAGCACCATGTGGCACGTTCGACATCTGAAGCAACCGGGGTGGTATTTTTTCCGAGCGCCTCCAGTAGAGTCTTCGTTTTCCTCTTCGGTTTCGAGATACTGGCCTTCGATACCCATGTTGCAGGAGCCGCAGAGTGAACCGTTTAGTTCATGGTAGTGCTGAGCGCAGTAAGGGAGGTTGTCAAGGACGTAAAAATCAGCTGTTTGGAATGGGGAGCGGCATGTGTGACAGACAAAGCACGCTTTGTGCCATCGGCCTGTTAATCGCCCATCTGCAGATGCTACGGATTTTCCAACGATGATTTGCTGGCAACCACGACACCGGCTCCTCCGCCCTACGGGAGTGCGTGTGGCAGTGCGTGCGGGTGGTGATCCTACACGTTTATCGGCTACAGGTTCTGTGGGTAACATAGGCATTGGTTGTGGTAGGTCAGTTTTCCTCATTGTTGATGACAGATGCCCATTCTGGAAGGAGGGATCAGTCGGGGAATCCATGCAGTGTGCAGCCGGATCTCGCGGTCGCCTCGGCTCCACATCGATTGAAATATTATTCCAAGACATATTGTCAGACATATTGTCAGACGCGGTTTTTGAGGGTGCGTTGCTAGACACGTCAGAAGGTCGAGTGGAGTGGGAACTCCCACTTGCCATATCTGATGGTGCGGTCCCTATGGATGATGAAATTGATGGATGGGCGCTATGGTTTAACCCTAGATCTCGCGCAAAATTCGAGACAGAAAAATCCTCATGAATTCGATATTCGCGTATCGGAGACTGTGGTACCTCGTTTTTGGGTATGGTGGACCTATCATCCTTTTCTGAAACAGAAGGCTTGACGCTAATCGATGAGGTGGTGGTGGCGTTTGAGGGCCTTCTAAAGTGGGAACTGTTAGAATTTCGCGGAAGCTTTGGTTGTGACGGTAGGCCGAAATCAAAGCTGCCGAACAGGCCATTCTTCGGTTCCTCTTGAGGGGGGCTCGTCTCTGTGATGCGATCTGACTCAAAGTCCTCTTTGTCTTCAAAACGATATGAGGAAGGAACTGTGTCGTAGGGTCCTGGGGTGAAGCTCTTGATGGGTCCCGTAGGCAGCGGAGGTATTTCGTCCATCACATTGCGTCCAGAGGCGGACGACTTCCTCGGCGAGTAAGGACTAAGGAGGCCATCGCCAAACCGCGAGCTAGCTGCTGATATCCGAAGCATGCTCTTGCTATCTATCGACATTTCCCTCCTATGCTTTTGCTTCGATTTTGGTCGTCCTCGTTCTTCTTCATCGGGGACGGGATCTCGCACAATCGAAGCATGACTATTGTCAATATCACTCCTAGTATCGCCTTCGCTCCGATCTGGGCTAGTTTCGAACGGTTTTGTCGTAAAGGGACTATACGTGTCAGCTAACTGGGTTCTAGGTTTTGACCTCACGGTGGATCCTGTAACTGTATGTGATCTAACAAAAGGTGTATATGTGCCATCTTCGTTGACTGGGTCAGGTGTCGGTGGTAGCGGAGTTGTTTGACTTCGTTTGAGAGGCGCCGGAGAGAGAGATGGGGTGCCATCACTGTTGGCAGGGGTGAGAACATCAAGATGTAGAAAAGGCCGATCTGATGGAAGTCAGCATGCATGTCAAGTCATGGAATAATTTCTTTGTCGACCAAAAGCACATACTAGCTACGAAGGGGTCAATTTGTGGTGGTCGTCCAAATCTTCCCGGCTTGCCATCGCGATTGGAACCCGTGGGATTCGGGGGGCTGTCGAACGGGTTGCGATCTGTATATTGGTCGGGGGGAGGAGTAGCTGCACAATCATTTAGCATTCCATCCGCAGATTTTCTTTTGCGATATTTCTATAGGCGCATAATGACAAGCTACATACGTTGCTGCGAAGGCCTATCGCAGATATGGTCTCCCATTTCAGAGATTCCCACGCTCGCATTGCAGTTGGAGCATTTGATCACTGGCAATAGCCCGTCCGTAGCTAGATCCGCCGCCATTGTAAAGGACACTTGGATAACTCATATGCAATAGGCAACTGAGGAATCCGGGCTACGCCTTTCGTACGTTCACGCTTCGACTTCCTTTGTCTCTTTGTCCCCTCTGCAATCACTGGTCGGGAAGAATGATGATGATTTTGTTAAGGCAGAGCAAGAGAGGCAATTCCTGTCTACAGGAAATCTTCAGAGGGATTTAATGAAGAAAGGTTATCCTGGACAGCAATCTCGGGAGAATCAAGGAATGAAGCAGGGGACTTGAATTGGGAGCTGACTTAAGGATATGGAGGGAGTTGATAGGTACAATATTTCTGGAAGGGGATAGTTTGATATAGACAGCAACGACAATACCTAAGGTATAGATGTGAATTTTTATATTAAAGAGACAGATATGTCTATTTGAGACAGCGAGAGGTCTTTTTGTGAGTGAAATAGGTATACAGTTTCAAGAAGACAGAGCAAAGAAGAGAATTGAGAATGAGAATGAAGGAAGAAGAATGACCGCAGATGCGCAACATGAGCCGTGATAGGTGACGCTGTGTATCAACGATACAGAGCTCCATACTCAATAATACCACGCATACAAATGCTTCCAATCAAACCACATTTCCGCCTGCTATTTTCCAGTTAAAGAAGCGTTCCCCAGAGCCCCGGTCCTGGCCTGGAGCTGCTCCCCGGCCAGATCCCGCGCTGGTAATTTTGCATGCCCAGTTCCGTTCCTCTGTCTTGCTCCCGAAACAGCAACCCGTCCCCCCTTGTGCCTGGTTCCACCCGCTAAGGCTCATCGCGGATAGACCTGTTCCACCTCTTGACAGGCCTCGTCAGGAACGCCTGTCGCTAGTCTCGGTTCAAGGGGCAATTGCTCCACCAGGGGCACTGTCATGCATAGGCTGCGTACGCAGTAAATCGGGAAATATTGGCTGCGAGAAATACCATTCTACCACCTGAGGGAGGAAGGTCTGCGTCTGCCAAATACCTGCGACTCTCCATGTTTCCGCTGTGTTTTTCCACATATTCCCTCGTCTCAAGTATGTAATATTGCGATATTGCGCCGTACGGAATGCTCCGTACAATATGCCTACGGCGTAGATACCCAGATATGTATGCATGTGTGGTACTTTGTAGGGAGAGTTACATCGGTTCTTCCACCGGCCATCCCCTGGGATTCCCTGCCCGAAATCATCCATGGATCGTCGATATCAGCGTCATCCCTGGCCTGAATAAATGAGGGCCCCCTCATCACGCGCTCCAAGCTCTCTCTCCAGGTGAGGTGGGCGATTGATTATATTCTTCCTCAAAATCCTCCCCTTTTTCTTTTACCATACTCTCCTTTGTTTACATTTTTCTGTTTTTGATGCGAATCAGCCTCAAAACCCAAAATCCAAAACAACGGCCAGACTTCTTCTTTAAAGCTATTCAACGTTAAATACGCACGAATGAACCAACCCGCCAAAATGAAAGCTGTCCCCTCAGCCAATCGACTTCCTGCTATCGACAAGAGCTACCCTTCCTCTTGCGTAACCATTTCCCCATTTTTCTATCGCAAACTCCCTCCTCCATCAATTAGCTCCTTCGCTAACCAAGTAAGTTTAGACCAATCCCCACTGGAGAAAACAAAAAGCAAAAATACATTTTGCAGATCGCAACAGCAATCGGTCCTTGGGCTGGTATTGTTGGCTCTTTCTACAGATTATTAAATTCTTGCACATCAATCAATCCTCTTTCATGTGAGCGGGAGAGAGAGCTTGCTTGAGGGTTTTGTTTTTTATTATTGGTTTACCATCAGAATTGCTGAGCAAGAAAGTGATTGCGCGAGCACTGGCGGCTCTTATCAAAAAGTTGAGGGTTCGCTTCCATTTCGTTGAGATCATGATCAAGATCAAGATCTCGACTGGGAATACATAATTTACTAAATAAATAAATAACTATATATGCATGCATGCAAGGCACAACCTTGGATGTCTGGTTTTTTATGCATATTTCTGCAATGCCAGGTCCAAGGTCTGAAATCGCAGGCGCAAGAAACCGTCCAATCCTTGCCAAGGTCGGAGGTTTTAAGAGGGAAAATGTACGAGAAAGGCAAGAAAGAAAAATCACCAAAGGGGAAATCAACAAGTCCGCTCACCAGGCCAGGCCGACTTGTGTATTCCGGATACCATTCATTCCTTGCTTCGGAATAGCGACTATTCTGACTCGAACTGTCCATGATGCAATATTTCTGCAGGAGTTGCTCAAGAGCAGGAAAGGTAACATCAATATTACAGTCCTGGAAGGGGTGCGCTGATATGTATGAAGCGAAAACTTGGAGATGGTTAAAAGATGTACAAGTCCTGTTTCCTCCGTTTTTGCTGCTCTGCTTTTCTGGGATAATCAGGCATATGTTGGCGGATATCACGAAAAGGAATAATACTGACATTGAGACAGACAACACATCTGTATTAATAATATTATTACCATAGCAAAACCCTCTTGCTGCGTATCAGACACAACACAAGACATGAAATGTCCGAGCCAAATGTAAAGAAGAGCCGGCTTTCATCGTCCACCTCTTGATATCTCTTGGTGCCATCCACCAAAACGGTCCCCTGTTCTACCTGGAACGGCCATGCTGCGTTAGCTCGGCACTACTCCTCGCTCCAAGCTCAATTTGTCCCTGTACTATGCGTAAGACCTTTTAAACATTTTTCTCCCCCACCTTTTTCTCCCTCCTCGAGTCCTCGTGAGCATCACGGACAAAACGCATCAAACCCGATAATTCTCTTATTGGATGTGAATGATGATTTGGGCGGGAAGGTTGAAAATGCTGCACTGATCATAAACTTACTCTTGATTTTGCTACAAAACCCCCCTTTTACCTTCTCGTTGCAGCTTACTACGTATAGAGTATCATCATTGCTTCGTATATCTCATAGAAACTTGTGATGTTTCTGTGCCTTCGTCGTGCAATCGTGATTGTGTACCACTGCTGCGTACATGTCGTGAAATCAATTTTTGTTACACATGCTGGGGTTGTATAACTACTTACAGAGTACACATATACTCCGTATGTATGCAGCCGTCGTCCCTCAGATCGCCCCCTCACGGAGATAAGTGACAGGGGATACATACATACATAAGCGATGTTATTGTTGTGACACAGACAGTTAACTACTTCTTACCTGCCTGAAAGGCATATCCAGCGCCGGGTTCCCAGGCCCACTACCGGCTCAGGGGAAGTATATTAGTTCTCGTTCCTCGCTGCCTCAGCTCCGGACAGTTATCTTCGACTGCTGATGGAGTACTGTACGTCGTGGTTGTCAAATATGGGAAAGCGGAAATAAAGTGAACTAATAATAAAGAAAACACCCCCGCTTGTCGCTTGTGGGTTGGCATGCACAAAACCCGTTGCATGATCATCATCACTCTTATGAATGACGTTGATCTGTCCCACCTGTCGTTTCTGTGTATTTAAGCTGGGATGGAAAAGTGAAGCTTTTCGCATTTATTTTTGATAACCAGCTGCTATTCCTACGCACTTTGTGAAGATATTATGTAGAAAGGGCGCGAGGAAGTAGCAGGAGGGAGCTCATGTGCGTCTTCCACTCCTACAAAGATATGATCGAAGATGCCGGTTCTTCAATAGTTAACTAATAATTTGTTTCGATTTGTTAACGAGCAATGATATGCAGACATGCAGGATAAAAATAGACCCTCATTGAAATAAACGGTAAGTTAGTTGGATTGGATTTCCATGGAGCTGTGAGAAGCACGATGCAGTCAACTCAAGATGCCTCAGCCATGAGACACGGTATATATAAGTAAAGGCCCTCTCACCTTTACGTGCCTTGAAGTAGCAAGCCAATTCAAATTAGAGGAACGACCGGATTGCATGCCCACCAGTTTGGCTGGCTCATCTGTATCCCTCTCTACACGGATAACCATCGAATCTTCATACTCTTGTTGTCCGCAGCTTTCCTTGCGTTCTTTTTTTCCCGGTGAAGAAAGCTCGGTGCGGGTTGAAGCCAAATTTTGGTCACCATTCTAAGCAAAGGTAAGCGATCCTTAGAGAATATTGAGTTTCAGAGATTCGATCTGTAAGTTTGGGCAGGGCAAGAGAGCTGATTATTTTAGCCATTTAGTGCTGATGTTGGCGGAGATTTTTCCTTGGGCCATGTTGAACTATCATTTGAGAGGTATATATATAGAATCAATGCCTAGCATAGATACAAATGGTGTATTGTGCATTGGCGCACGACAGCCCTACGAAAATTATATTCGCGAATGTTTCGTTTCATTTTTTCCCCCTTCCTTTTCTCACTAATTTACCCTGCCAGAATAATGCCATGGATGTGAGAGATATTTGAGTATCCTGGTGTTCATGAGTAATAAAAGAGAGGGGAGGGATCTGGAGTCGGCGAGGAAGAACCTTCAAAACTATGTTGATTATCCAGCACTGTGTGGGCCGCAGGTTTTGTAGTCATACTTATCATTCAAGATGGTATCTCCGCAGAGGTGTTGCGAGATGGAGTTGCGCTCGAAACCATTGGCGAAGATGCGATCGAATTCGAGGTAACCCTCGTCACGGAGCACCAACATCGCCTGCGATAGACGTGTGAATCCTTCATTCCTTACAACTGCCATTGTCTGCGAAATGCACTTGATGGATTCTTTGAGAGTAGTCGAGAATAACAGGGAACTGCTTGACTACCTTTTGTGCGTCGGGACCGCTGCGCGCAAACTGTTATCTCCAAAATACAGCTCCATTGAAATGAAGGCATCCTCCACTCGGAGGTTTGTGAGCAAAAATGGACATGACGCAGTACCAATTAGTAACAGTGGCGTCAGCTGCTGTTGACCGTTCAGCCCCAGGATCCAGAATGGGAGCTCGTTCCCACCATGCCCCCCTGTCAGCTTGCTTCTGGAGATTGTGAGGTAATGATTAATCGCTTCACAGCCGTCATGGCGCAAGATTGAGGTCTTTCCAGCAGTATAACATACAGGCCAGCCCCTTGTCCGAGTAACGCTTGTCAAGTGTTGCGATTAAGCTAGAAGTCCTACTAGGACACGAACTGGGGACGGAATTTTGCGTCCATCGTTCTCAGCCGTACGCAAGGGTTAGCCGGTGGCCTTTTATCTCGTCAACTTAGCTGATGGCTGAAGGAAAGGAAAAGCAGAAGGCAGCAGAAAATGATAAATAAATATATATATATATATCACCTTCCTCCATGCGTGCACGAGAGCCATATTGGAATAATATTTGGGATGGAAACTACTTCCAGTCAGTATGTAGTGCGGCGAACTCTCATCAATTCCATAAACAGTATGTCATCAACCTTCCCCACATGTCATTCAATATACGCGCTGCTCACCTTCTCCTCACCTACAGGTACCGGCATCGGTGCGAGATCAGATTGCTGGCCATGACTCGAATGCTGTTAAATACTACCTAAACAATGTTGTGCAGGAAGTGATGAATGTAGATAGGTCATCTAGAGCAAGAGTGCAAGCATTGGCATGCTCACTCGGACTTGACACCAATTCCGCGGCACCTACTCGGCCCACAGACGAGCAAATCCAGCGGATAGCAGCACATCCAAAGATGCAGGCCCTATCCAAAAAGAACCAGGAGTTGTCTGCCAGGATCCGAGCAGCAGGCTACACATCAATCCCAGGGCAGCTGGAACTGCTCTCTACCGAGAGAAGATGAGAGTCCAGAGTAAGTTGAACAGCGCAAAAATCCATCTCTGGAACCATTATGGTGAAAAGAATCGAACTCGACACTTCCGCCATGCAGATACAGAACGGTTCAACCGTCGAATCCAAGGACACCAGGAACCAATGAACTTACCCCCCACCCCCCTCCAGTATTGCAGAGCCCATAGTAGAGATAGGTTGTGGAATTCACTTGCAGGCCCCAATCTAGCTTGAAGCTTGATGATATCTTCCGGCAGCGATGTGCCTTCACGATGCTGCTAGTCCGCCTTCAACATCGGAAAGAACCCCGTCCCCTAGGTCGGCGTGAACAACGACGCCTGTCCGAACACGATACCGCCGGGCAATCTCCAAGTCCCAGTCCGGAGACGCCATTCGTCGTTCCCCAAACCCTACAGGACTACAGGTGCCCGTTTTGTATATGTGATACCTCACTTCCCATGAAGCAAAGGAACAGGAAATGGAAGAACAACAATACCTTCTGGGAACATGTTGAAAAGAACGTCCACCACGATGAACTCAAGGGGTATGCATCTGGGAAAAAGAGGTGTGGCATCTGCGGGAGTGCATCTCCAAGGAATGATGGCATTCAAAGCGCATACCTTCTGGGAGTATGGCAGGGAGCTTCGCAAAGAGCAGTTGTAGATTCTTTGGGCTTTACTTATTTAAGTACTTAGCCTGACTCTTTGGCTGGCAACTTGCTTCAGACTCCTAATCCCTCAGCAGATTTGTCAAATCCCAGGTCTCATCTGTCTACAGATGATATCCCGGATGTATACTATGTGTATTTTGGGCGCCGGGAACGTCATCATTGACTGTGCCATATCCCATAATCAAACCAGGGCGCGAAGCAATATTTCCGCCACAGGATCCACATGGGGCTGTTCTGGCTTGTATCCAGAACAAGATGGCCATCTAGATCCAAACAAAAAGTTGGTTCATGAGGCTCAAGCATATAGTTACTCGTATATAGGAATTCCAAAACTTTTTTGACCAGTATTGGGTCTCGGTCGTTGAGCTCATTATGTTGACTCCATATTAACGTTATCAAAACACAAGTCTGCTCATAAAGTTGTAGGGTTGTGCTGGATTGAGCGAATCAAATTGATCTTCTATTCGTCTGATCTAGTAGGATGTTGACCTACCGAGGGTGGTTTTTCCCAGGGTTTGGTTTGGGTATTGTCGGAGCGGATCATCTCTATTCCGGCTCCAAAAGTTCCAGCCCCTATTATATTGCCAGATGCTCATCAAATTATAATTCTACGGAGCAGTCCATTCATTATCATCCTGGATGGCCACAGTGACTCTCTACGCCATCTTTTTCTCATAACCTCTCCTGTATCACATCAGAGATCCTTCAAAAACAGCTGGTTGCGGCGCAACATTGTGCTTGCAGCAATTGCCGCACTAAAACGTTTCCGCCCACGCCAGTCATCAGTTCTGTTTCTTACTCGCCAAATATGTATCAAATATGGTCCATTCCAGCATCTTTCCTCCGCAGAAACCATGCAACTGATTGCATCCAACACATCTATACCCGTGCCAAAGATTTATTGCGCTTTTGAACGGAAGGGTATCATCTATATCGTGATGTCTTGTGTCGGGTCAACAACAATTGGCCACAACTGGTCCGAGCGATCTGATCAGTCTAAGAGGCTGCTCTTATAGCAGCTGACGGGTTACATTGAGGAGATGCGCGCATTGAAACCTCCAGCACCTGGTGTAGTTGGGGGCATGAATGGCTCTAAACTCTATGACCCACGGATTCCTGATGGTGTGCAAGGATTCGGACCATTTGATACCATTTAAAGCTTCCATTCTTTTCTTACAAGTGGGATTAAGATGTCCCCGGATGGATTGCCTGACATCAACAAATTACTGACATTTTACCAAAATTCACAATTCCCAACATCTTTAACGCATGGGGATCTGAACAGCCCAAATATTCTTGTTGACGGGGATAAAATTGTGGGAATTGTGGACTGGGACACTTGTGGCTGGTATCCAGAATATTGGGAGTACACGACGGCTTGGAATGTCAACCCTTATAATGTGTTTTGGAGAGACGAAGTTGGTAAATTTCTTGAAGAATACCCGGAGGCACTGAGGATGGAGGAGATACGTCTTAAATATTTCGGAGATATCTAGGTCTCATCTGATCAAGATGCCTGTCTGCATTTCTCCTATCCACTAATGGGAACCTATCGTTCACGGAACCGTCTCCTTTCTCTCGTTAAGGTCAAAGGTTGGAACGGTTCTCGGTGGAAATGATCCCGAGCCATCATATCGTCTTTGCTGCCGCTTTTGTCAGATATAATCCTTAGCATTTTGCTCAATTGTTTGCCAGTTCGTGACTTGAGTTCCTAAGCTTCTAACATGCCCGAGAAGGAAACTGGTCTGGATGAGTGGGATCTCGAGTGTTGAACTGGGTCTGGCTGGCTGGATCGAGTTATTGTTTCACGTGATAGCGATGTCCATCTCCCCCTTCTGCTTCTTCTGTAAGTGGGAAAGGTTGATTCTCCTATTATTATGGGAGCAGCTAGCTACGTTATATAACATAAGAGATCACGTGCAGGCGGAGCGATCGCTAGGGCAATGCCACCAAGGCAGCCGCTGCTACACCCCCCCTCGCATCGCCATGCAAGATCTTAACACTGTGATTATCTTCAAATGTTATATAGAAAAGCCTGCCATGCAGTCCCTGAGTCTCTTCAAATCATGCTACATACATTAATTTCAGGCATTCTGGCCCTTTCCACCTGTAAGACCTAACAAATCAAGGAATCACTGAAATACAATAGTGTCTAAAGATTTGATCAATTCATCTGCTGTTATTTTCTCAGTTGAGATGTACTTCAAAGATATAATTCTCTCATTCAGCTGTGTATGTGAGAAATGAAATTGTATATTAATATACTTACTGTGCATGATCATCACTATCATAGTGATCAGATCAATTGAACTCTTATTATCAGTATAAATCTTGATTAAGTTATTTGAAATGAATAATAAGTTCATTATTATATTTCATAATCATATTATCTCACACACTGTCTTATTAAGAGTCATATACTCAGCTTTATTTAAGTTGAGAGATATACAGAGCTGCTTTACAGATCATTATAATATAGAGATATCTGTAACTTTAAAGATGAACTCAGATATAGACTTCTGATTGTTATTAAGAGAATCAGCTCAGTCAGAATCTGTGTATTCAACTGATGTATATATTGTATTCAGTAAGTTACTCATATCATTGTTTAAATTCTTATAAAATATTTCCAGATTCTTAGTACTGTGAAGATAGTGTATAACATGTAGTAGAGCTTTTCATGCTTTCAGTGTGAGAGCTGAGTTCTTCTGTGCTAGAAGAAATGCCATATAGATAATGTTCAGATATAATTTAACTACTAAATACTGCAGATAGCTGACTTTATATTAATATTAAGTCTTTGTGAATCTGCTTTTCTTCTCTGACATGAGAGAGTCATCTAGATATAAGTCTTCATTCATGAGCAAGTGAATAGTAACTGTATTATCAAGATGAAAATCTTATATCAAGCATGTAATATATTATTTAAGTGTTAATTTAACTTTATTCTTCATATAACTGACTTTTATACTCAGATATCTTTTAGATTCTTTGAGATCTTTAATCTCAAGCTTTTCACTCAGCATGTTTATCAATCAATCAGTATTCACAGACTGCTCAGCTATAATATGAAAATTATTAATATAGATTATTATATATAGATTCTTCTACATGTCATGTTATCAGAGATTAGAGTTATATAAACTGAGAGTGAATTCATGTTCTCACAGCAGAATTGTGAGATAATTATACTAGATTTTTATTACAGAGTTCAAGCTGTATAAAGATTTCTTGACAGTATATATCATTGTGTATGAAGTATCTGCTTCAAAATCAGTGAGTTAATGCATGTAAACTGTCTTCTCTAGTTATCTGTGTAGATAGATAAGTATAATATTAACTTAACACAGAGTTCATCTATATTTCACTACAATGATAAACATCATACAATTTATTATATTCATTATAACAGAGATGTATATTTTCTCTCTTAGGCTTTTCTTAAGTCAATTACTGCAGACTACTCATCTGAACTTTTATAATATACTGTTTTCATCAGTATTGAAGTTCTCAGAATAATTCTTCTTTATGAATACTTAGTAGCTGAAAGTCATGAGTTCATTAGCAGAAACATCAGAACACAGTATAAGTATTCAGATCTTTCATCTCTCTAAATTGATTATTTTGCATTGTATTGAATATCTTTATTATTCTTCTATACTCTCTGATCAGCCTATCACATTCTTAAAGCTTTTCAGCAAGTCATTAGTAATTGATAAAAAGATGTAAGCTATAAAGATCTTTGCAGACTGTATTCATGAAACATATGATTCTGAAAAATCAGAAGTATCAGAATTCTTCATTATATAGATAGCAGTGATTAAGTCAGTGTTAGCTTTTGCAGTTATAGTGATGATTACATTTTTTAATATTTCTTACACTTTTGCAGGGAAAATCATGTCACTCATATTAATAAGCTTATCTGATATAGAACTTCACACATGATAGATCATGCATCTGCAGAATTCAATAAGTTTATATAGATCAGTCTGAGCAGACAGTTTGTCTGCTAGCTTCTGTGATTCATGAAGATGAGTATAGACATTCAACTTAAGCTTGTAGAAATGTGAGATCTGCAGCAGAGTGTTCATCAGAACTGAAAAAGAAATTGTATAAGAGCTGTAGACAGGTTTCTTATCTTTCATAACTGCAGACTAATACTTCTCATTGTATAGTATAGTAGATGTAGATGTGTTATTAATTATTGTAATGACAGTGTTTAATACATTCACTTAAAATTTCTTAGAGATGTTCTTGTCAATGATGATTACTCTCATATGCATTATAATCATGCAGATTCCATGTTCAGAGACATCATCTTAATGTGAAGAATAAGAAGTTATCAGCTCTCAAATTATACTGTAATTACTGAATAATATGATGATTTTTACAGATCTGAATACTCTGTTAATATCAGTTCTAATATATGCAGATGCTGTAAACCTCAAATTCTTTGTAAATTGAGTCTAATAAGTATAATAGTTATAAGCTTGATCTTTGCTTTGCATAAAATAGACTTATCTATACCTCATCATATTATCTGTAATTAATATGTAGTATTTAGTTCTCTGATGCAACTTGACAGAGTGATCAGACATCTTATTTAATATACACTCATCATCTGCAAGATTAATATGAATATGTTACATGAGTCAGATTGCTTGTGACATGAGAATCTGAGAAAAACAACATATCATACTCTCTTTCATACAACTGTCACAGAAAAAACCAGTCTTGAGACTCTTGATTTAAATATCTGATAACAGATTCTTTGTCAATGCAATAATAACTTCTGTGTGTATATAATCTAAGTCTATATATCATTCAATGAGTATTTTAACAATTGTGAGAGATTAAGTCTGATTATTATTAGTGAAATTGTTATTATCAGCAGTAGTTATAGTATTTATATATATATATGATTTTACAGTGTAATATATCACTCTTGACTTATAATGAATATCAACTTCTGACATTCTTTCAACAATTTTATATATGAAGCTCTGAGATGTGTGAATTGTAATGAAAGTAATATTATTTGAGACTCTTATGAGAAAGTAAGATGAAATGAATGATAATAATTCAAATTAAAAGCCCTGATCTTCAAGCTTGACAAATGATAACAGATTAACTGTGAGATTGAGAATTCAGTGAATATTGTAAATCATAATATCTCTTTCTTCAGATTCTAAGAGAAGATCACTGATTTTCTTAATATGACTGTGATCTTCATCTGCAGTGTTAATCTTGAGATTATTAATGTAAGTCTTACATTGAATAAGAGACTGCTTTTTCCCTGTCATATTGAAGCTTACACATGTATCAAGAAATCAAGGCTTGAATGTAGTGCTGACAGTCACTGAAAAAGCAATCACAGCATTGACTGTGACAGGTTGAGAGACTAGAAGGTTAAAAGATTCAATCTTTTTATCATTCTTATTCTTATTCTTCTTCTTACTTCTCTGCTTATTATGTTTACTGATATTACTACTATCATTCTCTTCAGATATAATAATACAGTTCTTGTTTAACTCACATCACTGTTCAGTAGTAAGTTCAGAGTATAGATATTAGTAAGTGTTCTTTGAGTACTAGTTTATACTGCATATATTACACTTGAAGCTGTCAGTGAATAACATAGTAGAGATTATAATAACTATATTAACTCACTGCAGCTTGAAATGTTCATTCTTAGACTTACTTATACAATTTATCAACTGTTTCATGAAATCTTCAATATTAATATTATGAATAGAGTCTTGATCAGTCATATAGAAATCATTCAAATATATCTTGATAAAAGACTTTTGATAATCTTTTAAACTAATAAGAAAGAGATTATAATAGAAGTCTTCTGAGTTGTTCACTAACTTCTTGTAATATGTAATTAAATAATGAAATCTTCTCTAAAATACTAGATAATCATTTTTCTTAACATGTAAGATAGTTAATTCTTTTATGATATTCATACATTCTTTCATAAGTGAGATAGTGTACTTGACTTTAATTCTTTCTTATAATGCAGCTGCATTATCTGACTCAAGAGTTTCAATGATTATATATACAGATTCTAATAAGAACTGTAACATACATTAATACAGTGTTTTAATATAAATACTTTATTTTTCAGTACTTAACATATCTTAACTGATGTCTTCTGAACAGATATATTGATTCTTCATAAGAATGTTAAATTTGCTGATAACTTCAGCATCTGTAAGAATTTCTGTATATCAGGTCTGATAATTGATACTGTCAAATGTGATTACAGTCTTAGTATTCATGACTTTTTAAACATTCTTTTAATATTCACAGATCTGAGATTTGAAATTGTTCACAGCAGAGATGATCTTCTGATACATGCTTATTCTATTACAGAATATTATAAGATTATTAAATAACATGAATATTATGTTATCTTAACTCATTCTAGACATAGAACTGCTGACAGAACACACTTCTATGAATACTGTATATATAGCACTTGAGTTTGAGATTTCATTATCAGATTCATGATGAGTGTCTGTGTCTTAACTAGTGAATAACTTCATGACTTTCTCTGTGACTTCTATGTACTGAGTAATATTATCTTTATCTGATTCTTCATCAATAGAGGCCTGTTAAGCTGTCTGAGTATAAGAATGAAAGTATAGAGTCTTCTTTCTATTACTCTGAGAAGTAGACAAGCTACTCATCAGTTATTATAATCTGAGTATAGATGTAAGAAAAGAGATTCAGATGAGATCAATCTCATTCAGTTATTAATTCAAAGAAAGAATGCAATCTCTTAATCTCTAGATGTATCTGCTTATTAGAGCATGCTTGTTCTGAGTAATGAGAGTATCTTCTATTCAAATCAACATAGAAAAGTGAACCAGTCCGCGGGCAATTGACTACAGTGTAATCCTTCTATAAAAATGTGTATAAGGAGTCTTAATAAAAGAAAAATCATGAATGTCCGGGCTATAACCTGTAAGTGGGAAAGGTTGATTCTTCTATTATTATAGGAGCAGCTAGCTATGTTATATAACATAAGAGATCACATGCAGGCGGAGCGATCGCTAGGGCAACGCCACCAAGGCGGCCGCCGCTACATCTTCTTTGGGTCCGACAATGATGGTCCCAATGATACGTGTTCGGATCCTGTCCACCACGCCCGTAGAGGGCGACGTAGACGCGATCTTTATCGGCTGCCGGCATAGTTACTAGAATCGTGAACGGAGCTGGGAGGTGGAATATTTTTTGATTAGCAAAGCTATGAGGTTTCTGGGCACTTGAGCGCCTATTGCTGTACTTAGAATCTGGCATGCACTGGACTGGGCCTTGGAGGAACTTACTTTTCTTCCAATGAATGATTGACTGGTGTGAACGAGAAATGTTAGGTAGGCTCTTCCATTCGGAAAATATTTACGAACCCAACGGAGCTGAGAGACAGCAGCTAATGTTTCAAGTTTATGTCTGAGTAATACGTATGAGGTGTGAATGCACCACACTCACTATAACAATAACAATTGAAATATGGATAATTTGAACTTCAAAAATTAATATCTCAACATCAAATAGCTAATCTATAATAATTAATTTATCTACATCATTCTGAGTAGCTGTATTATTCATGAAATATTCATATCCTTAACTCGCTACCTCCTATAATCGGGAATTAGCCATGACCGTGGAAATTTATAAGCATGCCCACCTTCGCGTTCCACATTGATGAAGGAGAGCTTAGTATTAGTTATGTGCTCCTATTTCACTGATTTACCTCATCAATACTCCAAAGAATGGTGGAGAGTTTTCGAAGAGCGAGCATCACTTGTGCGCAGCAGCAGCCATAATGACATTTTGAAATCAGGACCCCTCCTGAACTTACTCGCTTAAGGATTAATCTGCACCTCCGATGCAAGCCCGACTATCAGACTTATAGTGCAGATTTCTTCTGTATCCTATGCCTGATACCCCGACTGTATCTATTCCTCCCGTGCGCAACTTGCAGGACTCTTGCACGTTTGACTACATATCTCTCCTAAAACAAACGGGAGGGGGGTCAGGCCGCCTCCTTTTCGCAGGCTGCATTTCCGAATGACGAGAAATCCGGCAACTTGGGAGAGATAACCGATTCGTCCTGTCGCTGGTACAATTGCCGGCCGGGGACATTCTATGCGATCTCCCGAGGCATTTCCCCCCGCCTCAATATTGGCGAGACAAGAAAGGAAAACTCGGAATTTTTTTTTCTTTTCCGGGTCTTGTCGGGTAGATGCAAACTAGATACTTTGCATCGCAGGTGTCTGTGGGTGTAGGTTAAAAAACAAAAAATCTTGCTGCTCCCTTTCTACTCCTCAGGCGTCTGTCTCATACTTCTTTCTAACATTTCCTGTACAAGCAAGCTCAGGAAGGGGATCAATGTTGGCAATGGACCGGAGGGCATCAGAGCGCAAGCATTGGACTGAGCAAAGAGGGCCGGACATAAATCCTCTTCTAGTTCTGCTTTTCATTCCAGCAGCGGGGCTCCTATCCTATGCTATGTACTCCGTAGATAATAGAAAGAGATAGAACGCCGGAGGAAGAGCTGTTGTTCTGTCCTCGACTAGGGTGGTGGGAGAGAGAGGTTGGGCAGTGCAGTTCATACATGATGAATATCAAGGCCTCCACCACGCATTTCATAGCCTACACTTATGGAATATGCACATCCCTTGCTTCTTATGGCTTCCTGTGCCTTAAGAAATATAAGTCCAGTTTAAATCAAGCATGGTGAGATTTTCCCCATCTCGTACTTGAACAAAGTCGCTGCCTGGAGCGAGCAAGGGATACCTCTAGCACATATCTTAGATAACTAACTTAGGGGTGGGGGTAAGGTTCCCGGATGGCTTTTTTTTTTTTTTTGATTCCCTTTCTCCTTCAAGTGTAACTATAAACCTTTACAGTACCTACGTCACGAGGAGAAAACCCCCCCCCCCCCACAAACTGAGACCTAAGATTAAAAAGAGGAATAAAAAAAGGAAACGGGCTGGCCTTCTCACTCCGTTTCCTCTTCTCTTCTCACATCTCACGAACAGGACTGGAAAGATAAACACGGCGTAGCAAGGTTCCGATGGGGGATTGCAGGCGTCGAGCATATTATATACCTAGACACATGTATGTACATTACATGTACATGTACAGTACATACCTCGATAAATAAATGTATGTGACTCTGACTTCATCCTGAGTAGAGAGTCCAGGGCAAGGGATGTAACGGAAAGGCTATTGCAAGAGGGGGAATGAGAGGCGGTTTACAAGACTGGCATACGTCCTTTAGCACTGCTAGCTGACTAGTATACTGACCGCTATTTCCCATTCTCGACAGTTTTTAGTTCTTCCCTATGATTGATTGCCCTCCCTTCTGCTGCAGGCGGTGGGGGAGTCTTGTATGTAATCACTCTCAACTGACTAGCTACAATACAATACACAGTACCCCTCCTTAAGCCGACAGGTACTCCGTATAATAATAACTATAACAACTCCCGAACACGTCAACAGAATCACGCAAACGAAAAAAAGAGGAAATGGGACAAGACAGGTGAGCTCTTCTTCTTTCTTTTTTTATTTTAATGCATCCGCTCGGTTATGAGTGGGATTCTTGCAGTTGCCGTCCACATCGGAGTTGATACAGTCGGCTATGCTGCAGTGGTAACTCCGCCATGCCGGCGATATGGTTTTGATATATGCTGCAGAGTGTGTACATGTATGTACACAGGAATAGTCGATTTATGGGGCTCCGCCTAGCGCAACCTGCTCAAGAAACAATGTGCCTCCGTAAAATTCCTTCCAAGAGCCCCTCTTTGGCCTGTAATGGCTTAGAGAGGACAGATTTGAAGCTGCACAGTGAGACCGTGTAGCAATAAAAATGGGTAAGAAGAATAGTGACCATTTTTGCGGAGGCGGGGGAAGGGGGGACTTCCATTCCACTATTGTGGGATGCGAAAAAAGAAGTCCCTTCGGAAGTTTAGGTGGGAAACTATCTCAGCCATTTTGACATGGGCGGGAACTCCAAATACGTCAAATCAGCAACTCAACACAGCAAGTGGAGGTTTATAGTGGTGTAACATTCCTGAGGCGGGAGAGCGGGTTCTGAATGCACAGTAGGCAATGGGCTGGGTGTTTGGTTGGGCAGGAGAACTGCTCTCGCTGGACATTGCCTATGAAGGAGGTTAGTGTACTAGTAGTACGGAGTAACTACATAACTACAGACGCAACAGTATGGTCAAACAAGGTTCTGTGTGCGTTGTTGGTTTATCTTATCGATAGTTAATCATTTATTAGGGCGGGGATAATTTCCAATGGTGCATGCAGTAACTACGTACTCCGTATTCTGTATGGATAGGAACAACTCATTGTGTTCTGCCGGTGCAGCCGCCGCAACAACCTGCAGTAGCCAGTCCAGTTGGCCAGATGGCTGCAGGAATGGCGCATGTCGACCTGCATATTCCCAAGCTTCTTCTCTTCCTCTATGACGATGACGGGATTGCTGGCGGGATGCTTCAGGTCAGGTCCAAAACCCGCTCGTTTCGTTCATTCACGTAGGGTCGGGAATCGCTAAACTAATATTTAATCACAGTGGCTACAATGACGACAATGTTTCTGTGTTGATATTAATCGCTCATCGCATCGGACAAGACCAGGCCAATAATAGAAGCCAGAAGGCAGAAGAAGTACAGAGTACCCGCAATAATAGAAGAGTGTTCCACCGCAGACACACCGGGCTCCACATAACATAATCTTACCAGCTAACTTAGTTACTGTACTGCGTAGTTACCCTGCTCTTCTGCCTGCTGACTACAAAAGCTGCCTCTTGCCCCTCGTCAACCTCGACTTCTTCTTCTTCTTCTTCTTCTTCTTCTTCTTCAACCTCAATCTCAGTCCCAAATATCCAATCCCCCTTCAGCAATCTTTCCAACTCTGCTTTCTTGCTTTTCGATCACTCTCTAGGAAGTGGTCCATCAATACCGCCAAAACGTTTTCCAATCTTCTTCCCTCGTAAGTCGATTTTGCTCCTCCATGGCGCCGTCACTGTTGCTTAATCCCCCGCCCCCCCCTCTTTTTTATTTTTTTTATTTTTTTTCTTTTTTGTATCTGCCATTGATCTCTCTCTCAAGGGGGAATGGATAACCACTGCTATTTCCCTTGTTCTGCTTCACTCGTAGCTGTAATATCTCGCGTTGTGAAGTACAGTTGCTAATTTTCATCTCCCTGCAGGTCGCACCACCCGTTCAACGGAAGCCGACGCTCGTCCGCTCGTGGAGGAGCATCGGATTTGCCTTTTGTTCGATAAATCGACAAAGCTCTTGACTGCCATTTGAAGCTCGAGATCTCTACTCTCTACTTCTACCTTCTTCACCTTTCAATCACTTTTCAATCAAACCCGCGCCAATTTTTTTCGTGTTTGACAAGTCAAGATGGCCCCTCACGCCGAAGATAAAGCTAAGGTCTCCTTGAACGGGTCGGTGTCGACTTCTTCAACAACTCCTACTCTTTTCACTGTGGACTCCCCAAATGTCGTCTACACTGATGAGGAAATCAAATCGAGGTATGTGTACCATACTACTGCCGTCACTCGTGCCGCAGATGGTAAGTATGTTGCCGCTCCCAAGGAATCTGCCTATGACTTCAAGGTCAACCGTAAGGTCGGCAAAGTCGGCATGATGCTTGTCGGATGGGGTGGGAATAACGGTACCACCGTCACTGCCGGTATCATTGCCAATCGTCGTGGCCTCGTCTGGGACACTCGCGAGGGCAAACGTGCCGCCAACTACTACGGCTCCGTCATCATGGCCTCCACCGTCAAGCTGGGTACTGACCCGGAAACCGCCCAGGAGGTCAATGTTCCCTTCCACGACATGTTGCCCATGGTCCACCCCAATGATCTGGCCATTGGAGGCTGGGATATCAGCGGTATGAACCTTGCGGATGCCATGGACCGTGCCCAAGTACTGGAGCCGTCCCTGAAAGAAATGGTCCGCAAGGAGATGGCCGAAATGAAGCCTCTCCCAAGTGTCTACTACCCAGATTTCATCGCCGCCAACCAGGAGGAACGTGCTGATAACGTCATCGAGGGTTCCAAGGCCTCGTGGGCTCATGTTGAGAGGATTCAACAGGATATCCGGTAAGCTCAAAATTTTGCAATTGATATCGGTTCAGAGATATATTCCTAACCCTATATTGCTACTATAGTGAATTCAAGGCTGCCAACGGATTGGACAAGGTTATCATCATGTGGACCGCCAACACTGAGCGTTATGCCGACGTCCTCGCAGGCGTGAATGACACTTCCGACAATCTCCTCAAGGCTATCAAGGACGGCCATGAGGAAGTTTCCCCGTCGACCGTTTTCGCGGTTGCGTCCATCTTGGAAGATGCGCCCTTCATCAACGGCTCCCCTCAGAACACCTTTGTTCCAGGAGTTATCAAACTTGCTGAGGAGCGTGGTGCCTTCATCGGTGGAGATGACTTCAAATCCGGCCAGACCAAGATGAAGTCCGCCCTCGTGGATTTCTTGATCAACGCTGGTATCAAGCTCACTTCGATTGCCTCCTACAACCACTTAGGCAACAATGATGGCATGAACTTGAGCTCCCACAAGCAGTTCCGCTCCAAGGAGATCTCCAAGTCCAATGTCGTTGACGATATGGTTGCTGCCAACCATATCCTGTACAAGAAGGACGAGCACCCCGACCACACTGTCGTGATCAAGTATATGCCGGCTGTCGGAGACAACAAGCGGGCTCTTGACGAGTACTACGCTGAGATCTTCATGGGCGGCCACCAGACCATCAGCATGTTCAACGTTTGCGAGGACTCCCTCCTCGCCTCCCCGCTGATCATTGACCTGGTCCTCATTGCGGAGCTCATGACTCGTGTTAGCTGGAAGCCCGCCTCTGGCGACAAGTACAAGGGTTTCCACAGCGTTCTCAGCCTCCTCAGCTATATGCTAAAGGTACTTTTATCCTTGCTCTCTAGGTTCTTGCTGCTGGTTACGGATTAAGTGAACTAACAAAAATTTTTCTCAGGCTCCCCTGACCCCACCAGGAACTCCCGTCGTGAACTCCTTGAGCAAGCAGCGCGCTGCTATTACCAACGTCTTCCGCGCCTGCATCGGCTTGCAGCCTGAGTCCGACATGACTCTCGAGCACAAGCTCTTCTAGACTCGTTCACGTATCTCTGCGCATGATCTCATTTGACGCAGGGGATAGGTTGTGCCTATTAACGATTAACGAGCCCAGGCCGCGGCGTGCCTTTTGTCGTTCCCTTCCTTTTATCTGACCAGATTGAACAAACCTTTCGCACTTTTGCTTTGCCCTTGTGACCACTTGTGGGGTCAACACACTCCTTTAGTTCAGCTAGCCTAGTGCCTTACCAAGTTGCAATAATTAATTTAAGCATATGCCTAGGCAATTTATATATGCGAAGACAATAGTTGAAGATCCTGTCGTGTTATTTTCATTTCCAACTTGTAGCAGCGTACATACATCCGTAAGTGTTGGTGAAAATAGTGGTGGTACGGTACCCAAGGCAGAAGGAAGGACTGCAGGATAGTAGTTAAGTAAGTAACGTCTAATCATCTTCCCCAACAATCTGGATTGGAATAAGCTACGCATACAGTAAGTAACAAACTCCCTAGGACACCTACGTAGTATGATGGATACATTCGAAGAGAAACCACCTGCCAACATGCTTTGTTTGGGCCCTCCCAAGATCCTACCCGACCCGGCCAGTAAAATACGTGGTTTTATGCAACGATAGAAAATTGATAGAACGGTGGTATGATTTTGAATGATGGCTGCCATGATAAGTTTATCTATGTAGTTCTGCTCTATTTACGGGGCAACATGGAAACCCAACGGAGTCAATCGCAAGGAATCGCAAGGGCACCATAGGCACCAGACATGTAGCAATAGGCTCTGTTGAAAAGACAGGCAGATACATATATATATATATACAGTAGTATATCAAATTTTCCTCCTCAAACGTTCTCTCTCTGCCCTCTTCCGCTGGGTATATATATAAGTGACATGTGACGCATATCTTGAAAGCTGACAAGCCACACATCATATCACATCATCATCACAATAATAACAACCCCAACCACACCCACGCACTGGTTCAGCTTAAAAAAATTAGCCACAGCGCCGCCTGCCGTCGGGACTGGGGTCTCCCCCCCAATGCCCCCCGCCTCCCCCGTCCCCGCGGCCGTCGCCGTCGCTGTCGCTGTCGCCGTCGCGCGGCCTGGGTCTGCGGTGGTAGGAGCTGCAGAGCCCGTAGTTACTGCGTTGGTTGATAGGCGGGGACCAGCGCAGTGCCTGGGGTTGTTTTTAGAATGTTAGATTGATGTACTGTACACGGAGCAAGGAAGGTTGGGGGGGGGGGGGTGGGGGGTTAATTACCAATGATCACCATGCGGCTTGCAGCCTACAGATTCCGTAGGGCTAGGGCCTGGGTCTGCAGCGGTACGGGTTGCAGTGTCCTTAGTAGCACCGGTTGGTAGGCGGGGACCAGCGCAGTGCCTGGGGTAGTTTTTAGAATGTTAGATTGATGTACTGTACATGGAGCAAGGGGGGTGGGGGCAGGAGGGTCAATTACCAATGATCACCATGCGGCTTGCAGCCTACAGATTCTGTAGGGCTAGGGCCTGGGTCTGCAGCAGTATGGACTGCAGTGTCCTTACTAGCTCCAGTTGTTAGGCGGGGACCAGCACAGTGCCTGTAAGAATGGTTTGAATAAATTTAGATGTCAGTCAACTTTTGTTCTTCTCCCCCACCCAATACCAAAGCAGAGAATCCAATCATCTGGTTCTGTTGGGGTCAGGAAATATAAAAAATACTCCAGCTAGTTGCTCTCTGAGGATGGCTTGAGGATATTGATAAGAAGATGATGGTGGCGATGAATATGAATTGACATACCAATGATCACCGTGCGGCGTACAACCGACTGACTCCGTCGGCGAAGGGCCTGGGTCTGCAGCAGTATGGGTTGCAGTGTCCTCAGCAGCACCAGTTGTTAGGCGGGGACCAGTGCAGTGCCTGCAAGAATCGGTTGAATAGATTTAGATGTCAGTCAACTTTTGTTCCTCTCCTTTCCCCCCTACTCAATATAAAAGCAGAGAATCTAATCATCTGATTCCTTCAGGGTTGGCAAATATAAAAAAAATACTCCAGCTAGCTGCTCTTTGAGGATGGCTTGAGGATATTGGTAAGAGAATGATGGTGATGATGAATATGAATTGACATACCAGTGATCGCCATGCGGCGTACAACCGACTGACTCCGTCGGCGAAGGGCCTGGGTCTTGTCCGAGAACGAAGCTGGCGGGAGTGGAGAGGAGGGAGATGGCGACGAGGGCGACGGTAACGAACTTCATATTTCTCCCGTTTGTGTCTGGATTCGAAGGGCGCAAGGAGATACTCAAATTTGAAAACGATAGAAGTGAAGTTCTGCTCGCTGAAAAAGAGTGACGCTTTCAAGCCCAATGAACCGCAAGAGATTCAACATCAGATCAGGAAGAAGCAAGATTTCGCAGACTTGGTCTGCGCCTTTTATATCTACCGGAGTATATATCCCTGCGCAAACCCTACCTTACCATAGATACCTGTACATCTTGACATCTTGATCTTGCCCTGGACATTTTATCCCCTCTGCTCTGGTCAACTAAACAAGAAATTTTCAGAACTAGCCTGGGACTGGTACCCAATGCACATGCCACGGTCCCCTCCCTGGGAACGACAGAGGTGGGACTAACCAGCCAGCAGGCGGCTAGTAGTAATCCTCTCAGCAGCGGGAAACGGAAACCACAATGGCCCCTGCGTCCAATCCCGCGCTGCTGAATGTTCATTGCTTCGATATGAGTACCCTCGTAGTGCAGGGAGTTGATTCTTGATAGACCTTCTGGTGGGGCAAAGGTGGGAAGGATATGGCATTAGTGTACTCCGTATTTGCTCTGGCATCTTTGTGTTGTGTGATAGATGTGCGTGTATCCCCTTGCCTCTAGCCTCTAGATATAGGACAGTCAAGGAGGGCATTATATGGATATGCCAGTAGTTGGTAAAAAGTAGGTAACATTGTTCCATCATAGATGTTGCCTGTTAGAAAAAGCATGTCGCATTTTGAACGGAAAACGGTTGCGTGAGATGGGACATTCCCACCACCAACCACCAAGGTCCGCAGCGCGAGAAGGCCTCCACTAGGGAGGAGAGGCCTGTTTGCAGTAGCATGTGTTAGCGGCACAAATAGTTATCAATAATGAAGACAAAAGTAGTGAAGGGAAAAAAAAAATAAAAAAAAAAAAATCCAATGAATAGATTAGCTAGAGAGCTACAGAGGAGAGATCGCGTGCGGTTCAAACCTTTGGTTGAAATTGCTTCCTCATCACATGTGACATCCATGGTTGATTTGATGCGCCTCACTTCAATGTAATTATCATCACAACATTACTTGTGCACAGAGGAATGGCCCAGGTGGAGCAAATCCAGTCTCAAAAAGGTGTCTTGATGCTATGATCAATGCGCAACTATTCCAGAGCGAACGAGGCTAGTAAGCCAACCCCTTTAAGCCCCAGTTGAGGAGTGGTTCTAAACTCGTTGATCCATCCGCCTCCACGCAAAGATCCTCCATTTCTCGAAGTATGGTTTTTATGAATTCACCCGCACCGCTTAGTTTCAGAATGCGTGCTACAGCACGATGGACTGCAAGGAGTTGAGGTGAGGGTGGATCAATAGTATGTTCGGGGCTCGGCGATCGAAATATATCTCAAATTCTCTGAAAAGCCGATGATACTTTTTGTGTTAGAGTCAACGCATTTTTTGGGCTATCAATATCCTGGCCTTCAATAAGATGGATAACATCCGGATCAAATATTTTTAGAATGTGATAAATATGCTGCCTGTTTCGACTCACTCTAATGAACAAATTAGAGAGGCATAGCAACTATCCATTACTAGGGGGATAACAAACTAACTGTAAGTCTTCAGGAGAGATGAATGTGAGCGAGTGAGGAATTATGTGGGCCACTTCTAGACATTCAAATTCATCATTATTTAGATCCCTCAAGGGTTTCCTGTCATCATCTGTGCTATCCCCATTTGTGTCAAGCCGTTTCTTGACTTCAGCTCTATCAAACTTTCGAGACGCCACACAGCGGTGGTGGTCGGGGGAAAGACATTCTTGTCGTAACTTTGACACACGGTTTCTCGTACCAATCGGTGCAGCTTGTTTCGAAGACAGCGATGTAGGTTTGGGCTGCGGCGTTTTGACGGAGGAGGCTCGAACTACATGGCAGAAGAGAAAAACCAAGTGATGCGGCATGAAAAAAATTATCAATCATATATTTCAGCGAATTTATCCATGGCAACCACAGCTTCTCCTCTGCGCTTTGAATTCCATGATGAGAAATCATGAAAGGAGGCAAATGCTTGATGAAAACTGAAACCAGTTCTGTGTTCTTCTTCTGGAGTGACACTGCCATAAATGTATGTAAAGAAATAATCAAGGAACTCATTGGTGGATTTAACATGTTCAAATTTTGCACTTATGAGAGCTGCGGGCTTGTAGCGACTCTTTACTGTTCGGTCAGGCATGTATTTGATCAAAGTATTGAACAGGGTTCGCCCCTCCCTGCTCTCCTCTAGGGCTAGAGATGGGGGTGGGTGCTAGAGTAGAGATATCTCAATCTAGAGAAATTTGTGACGATGATGTTGAGCCATCATGATATAGAGTTCTGTAGAAGAAAGTCATAAATCTTGATGAACAGTATTGACCAATTCGATTTTCAGATGGTTTGAATAGTTAACAAATTAAGGTCACCAGCGTACGGAGTAGGAGGAGTCATGTTGTGTATATTATTTGTAGCGGCGGCCGCCTCGGTGGCGTTGCCCCAGCGATTGCTCCGCACATGGAGAATATAAGAGATTCAACCATCTCACATATTATTGCTCTGATAGAGCATATTTAATCTATTCCAAGGATTATTATAGCTAGTTAACTGCTTCCCATTATTCCATATATATGGCTATTATTATGAAGAAATCAAAAGCTAGATATCAAGCCCTATTATGTATTTTCCTTCCTTTAGAGGCCGATCAATATTCCATGCCGCTGCCGTTTACAACCTCGCAGGCAGTTTCCCCATCTTACAATTTATTTTTCCATTTGATAAACATCCCCTCCCCTCCTCAAAAGAGTGTTGAGGAAAAAGAAAAGGAAAAACGAACCAGGCTGACCGCAGTGATAGCCAAAAGAGAGAGAAAACAAAGACTTACTGCCTCATGTCAACCACGCAGCGAATGCAGTCACCATCGTTCATCTGCTCGAAAGCTTTATTAATGGATGCCAGTGGTTCACGGTGGGTGATGAATTCGTCCACTTTCAGCTTGCCGGTCATGTAGGCGTCGACTAAATCTGGCAGCTGGCTGCGGCCCTTGATTCCACCGAAGGCACTGCCTTTCCATTGGCGCCCAGTAACAAGTTGGAATGCTGTAGGTTATATTCAGTTAGCGATTTTGCTTATTTTTATCCATACCAGTTTAATCTTCTACAAAAAGAGGGAAAGAAGCAGGAGTACATACGTCTCGTGGATATTTCTTCACCAGCAGCTGCGACTCCAATGATTATGCTTTGGCCCCAACCCTTGTGGCAGGCTTCAAGTGCAGCACGCATTACACCGACATTTCCTGTGCAATCGAAGGTATAATCGCATCCACCGTCCGTCATCTCGATGAGTTTGTCTTGAATGGGTTTCCCGTCAAGCTTCGTAGGATTGACAAAGTCCGTGGCGCCGAATTTCTGGGCCCAGGATTCCTTCTTATCGTTGATGTCGACCACAATGATCCTGCTAGCCTTGTTCTTCAACGCACCCTGGATCACGGAAAGGCCAACGCATCCAGCCCCGAATATAGCCACTGTTGAGCCTTCTTCTACACCGGCAGTCACCACGGCAGCGCCGTAGCCGGTTGTGATACCGCATCCTAGCAGACATGTCCGGTCCATGGGAGCTTTATCTGTGATGGCTACAACGGAAATATCGGCGACGACGGTGTATTGGGAAAAAGTGGACGTGCCCATAAAATGTAATAGTTCCTTTCCACGGCACTTGAAACGGGATGTGCCGTCAGGCATGACGCCTTTGCCTTGGGTGGCTCTGATCTTACCGCACAAGTTCGTCTTGCCGGACTTGCAGAATTTACATTCTTTGCACTCGGGCGTACTGTTGGAGTCAGTAGGCACCTGCAACCATTTCAAGTGCCATTCCAAGAAGAATGGAAGAGGAGGTGTGTCCATACTAGAGTGCAACTACGTGGTCACCAGGCTTAACGGAAGTCACGCCTTCGCCGACAGACTCGACGATACCAGCGCCTTCATGGCCCAAGACGACGGGGAATGCTCCCTCCGGATCCTTTCCAGAAAGGGTATATGCATCTATAAAAGTGGCATAAGTCAGTCGGAATTTCACAGCAATCAATTCCGCCTCTCAACCGTCGCTCACAGTCCCAAACAAAAGAAAAGGGGAAAGGTCATCAACCCACCTGTGTGGCAAACACCGGTATAGTATATTTCAATCCGGACCTCGTGGGCCTTTGGGGGTGCAACCTCAATATCCTCGATAGTGAGGTCCTTGCCTGCCTCCCACGCAACCGCAGCCTATTTTCTCAGTTCAGTCTCATGCCCGGCATCATTCCAAACAATCCCAAACGCCATCAGTTGCTCTCAGAATGATATCATCCCATATCTTCCCAGGGGGATCAAACAGGGGGGTAATTGAATGGGAGGTGGGCGGTTTCTTACTTTGCAGGTGATAGTCTGTTTATTATTGTCCACTCCACCCATTGGTCAAACTGGTTAGCTTCCGATATTCTAAGCGTACGAAACAATTCAAACAGGCCAAACGGATTAAAAGAGAAAGTTAACTGACTTTTCCAACGGTGCTAGCCATCGTGAATTCGTGTTGCTCTGGTGAAGGTTGAAAATAGATGGCGACCAAGCTGGCTGGCTGGCTGAAATGAGCGGGGATATATGGGACGGGAAAGCAACAATTCTTCTCTGAGCGAGTTGATTTAATTGGAAATGAGGAGAAGCAAAAAAAGATGCAAGAAATCCTGCTACGGAAGAAGAAACTGTGAGAACGGGAAGATATATTTACCAGGGCGGAGGATCAAAAAGCCGCGGCGGAGGATGGCAGGTGGGGGGGCGGCGCTCGGGATTGAGGGGTATGTGTTGCGCCGTATATTCGGGTACCCGCCAGTCAGATAACGTGGAATAAACGCGGGCGGGTAGTTACCCAGAGATAAATCAAACTATTTTCTTGGCTGACGTTTTTCTAATTTGGGAATCATGGGATAAGTAAGGTTTTTCTTTCCCCTCACAATGGGATGCAATTGTTAGAATAGTTCTTTGTTTTTGCCGTATGTTGGGTAAGGTAAATAAATGATTATTTTGCCATATCGAGGAATGTAATGGCGACCTCAGTGCTGCAGCACGTTACACGTATGCCTATATTGGCCAACGAACCGGTTCTATTCCCACTAAAAGATAAATTTGAAAATAAAACAAAAAGGGAGAAAAGAAAAGGCAAACGAGGAAAAGGAAAAGAAAAATAAATTAATTAATAACAGGGATTCTTTCAATTGTCGACTTCTACTTTACAACAACAAACCCATACCTAGACTGACGGCTGACCGTGTGACTAGACTGGCCGCCGGGACCATGAATTTCATGTTTGGTCCCATTTGGTCTGGTCCCATACATTTCTTGGTGTGAATCCCACTGGGACTAATCATTAAAAAAACATGCAAAGTGACTATATATCAGATCTCAAAATAGAATCATGACTTAGAAAAAATAAGAAAGTGATCTCATTTAATCTCATTTAGTCTCATTCTTCATATAAAGTTACTATTTTTAGACATTTTAAGATTTTTTTTAAACTATTTTTAATTTTTTTAAAAAGTAATACTTTTTAATAACACTTAAATAAGATTTAAAGTTATTTAAAGTAATAAAAATAATTTAAATTGAGAAATAGAAATTATAATCTTATTTAAAAAATATAATAAGAGTAGATAGTACGTCGTTACTAAAACCAGT